AGAGAGAGAGGGAGAGGGGGAAAGAGGGAGGGAGGGGAGAGAGAGAGACAGAGAGATACAGAGAGAGGGGGAGAGAGAGAGAGACATAGAGAGATATATAGAGAGAGGGAGGGGGGGAAAGAGGGAGGGGATGGGAGAGAGAGACATAGAGAGAACAGGAGAGAGGGAGAAAGAGAGAGAGACATAGAGAGATACAGAGAGAGAGGGAGGAGGGGAAAGAGGGAGGGAAGGGGAGAGAGAGACATAGAGAGATACAGAGAGAGAGGGAGGGGGGGGGAAAGAGAGAGGGGGGGAGAGAGAGACATAGAGAGATACAGAGAGAGGGGGAGGGGGAGAGAGAGAGACAGAGAGAGATACAGAGAGAGAGGGAGGGGGGAAAGAGGGAGGGAGGGGAGAGAGAGACATAGAGAATACAGAGAGAGGGGAGAGAGAGAGACATAGAGAGATACAGAGAGAGAGGGAGGGGGAAAGAGGGAGGAGGGGGGAGAGAGAGACATAGAGAGATACAGAGAGAGGGGGAGAGAGAGAGACATAGAGAGATACAGAGAGAGAGGGAGGGGGAAAAGAGGGAGGGAGGGGAGAGAGAGAGACAGAGAGATACAGAGAGAGGGGGGGGAGAGAGAGAGACATAGAGAGATTATAGAGAGAGAGGGAGAGGGGAAGGAAGAGGGAGGGATGGAAGAGAGAGACATAGAGAGATACAGAGAGAGAGGGAGGGGGGGAAAGAGGGAGGGAGGGGAGAGAGACATAGAGAGATACAGAGAGACGGGGGAGAGAGAGAGACATAGAGAGATACAGAGAGAGAGGGAGGGGGGGAGGGAAAGAGGGAGGGAGGGGGAGGGAGAGAGAGAGACATAGAGAGATACAGAGAGACGGGGGGGAGAGAGAGAGACATAGAGAGATACAGAGAGAGAGGAGAGGGGAGGGAAAGAGGGAGGGAGGGGAGAGAGAGACAGAGAGATACAGAGAGAGGGGGAGAGAGAGAGAGACATAGAGAGATATAGAGAGAGAGGGAGGGGGGAAGAGGGAGGGATGGGGAGAGAGACATAGAGAGATACAGAGAGAGGGGGAAAGAGAGAGAGACATAGAGAGATACAGGAGAGAGAGGGAGGGGGAAAGAAGAGGGAGGGAGGGGAGAGAGAGACATAGAGAGATACAGAGAGAGGGAGGGGGGAAAAAGAGAGAGGGAGGGGAGAGAGACATAGAGAGAGATACAGAGAGAGAGGGAGGGGGGGAAAGAGGAGGGAGGGGGAGAGAGAGAGACATAGAGAGATACAGAGAGAGAGGGAGGGGGGAAAAGAGGGAGGGGGGGGAGAGAGAGAGACATAGAGAGATACAGAGAGACGGGGGGGGAGAGAGAGACATAGAGAGATCAGAGAGAGAGGGAGGGGGGGAAGGGAAAGAGGGAGGGAGGGGGGGAGGGAGGGAGAGAGAGAGACAGAGAGATACAGAGAGAGGGGGAGAGAGAGAGAGAGACATAGAGAGATACAGAGAGAGAGGGAGGGGGGAGAAATAGGGAGGGAGGGGAGGGAGAGAGAGACATAGAGAGATACAGAGAGAGGGGAGGGGGAAAGGGAGGGAGGGGAGAGAGAGACATAGAGAGATAAAGAGAAAGAGGGGGGGGGAAGGGAAGAAAGAGGGAGGGAGGAGAGAGAGAGACATAGAGAGATACAGAGAGAGGGGGAGGAGAGAGAGAGGGAGAGGAGACATAGAGAGATACAGAAGAGGGGGGAGAGAGAGAGAGAGACATAGAGAGATACAGAGAAAGAAAGGGGGAGAGGGGGGGAGAGAGAGAGACATAGAGAGAACAGAGAGAGGAGGAGGAGAGAGAGAGAGACATAGAGAGATACAGAGAGAGAGGGAGGGGGGAAAGAGGGAGGGGAGAGAGAGACATATAGAGAGATACAGAGAGAGAGGGAGGGGGGAAAGAGGGAGGAGGGGAGAGAGAGACATAGAGAGATAAAGAGAAAGAGGGAGGGGAAAGAGGGAGGGAGGGGAGAGTGAGAGACATAGAGAGATACAGAGAGAGGGAGAGAGAGAGAGAGACATAGAGAGATACAGAGAGAGGAGGGGAGAGAGAGACATAGAGAGATAAGAGAGAGAGGGAGGGGGGAAAGAGGGAGGGAGGGGGAGAGAGGAGACATAGAGAGATACAGAGAAAGAGGGGGGGGAAAGAGGAGGGAGGAGAGAGAGAGATATGTCAAAATAATTTTGTGGTTCCCGGTGTTTTTTAACAACTGGTTCTCTGCCCTAATGACCGGCTGGGTAGGCGTGGCTAGAGGGAGTCATATGACTGGTGGAAGTGAGTGACATCGAGTTGGCCACGCCAGGTTTTGTGGCTCCCGGTGTTTTCTTTTCTGTGGGAAACGGGTCCAAATGGCTCTTTGAGTGTTTAAGGTTGCAGACCCCTGTTTCTAGGTCCCTACAGGTACTCCTCAACTTACAACCGTCCGTTTAGTGACTGTCTGAAGTTATGGAGAAGACTTATGACCAGACTTCACACATTTATGATGCATCGCTGCATCCCCATGGTCATATGATCGAAACTCAGGCGCTCGGCAACTGATTCACACTTATGACGGTTGCAACACCCACGTGATTGCCATTTGCAACATTCCAGCCAGCTTCTAACAACGACGTCAATGGAGGAGGAAGTCCCATCCCACTTAACGACCAGGTGATTTGCTGGCTTTCCTGCCTAAAGTGGGATTAGAACCCACGAACCTCCTGGGGATTGGCCCAGAATTACTCAGCTGGCATTTGTGCCTAAGGCGGGACTTGAACTCAGCATCTCCTGCTGAAAGAAAGATGGTTCAGCAGCAGAAGGGAGCACCTGGGTGTCTCCAGGGACGGAGAGTTTCCTGCAAAATGTGCCTTGAGCCTCGCGGTGGAAGAATGGGCGGTGAAGATGACGGAGTTTGTAGAGATAACTAATTAACATTAATGCTGACTGGAAATCCCTTTTGGACTTTTTGTGTGAATATGTATGCATAGATGCAGATGAGAGGGGAAAACATGAGTTATGTTGTAACCGCAGAGTAAGAGTTTAATTTAATAATGGTTTTTAAAAGAAAATTTAAATTCAATCTTTTGTTCCTTCCTTCCTTCCTTCCTTGACCCTCTCTTCCTCCCTCCTCCCTCCCTCTTTCTTTTCCTTCCTTCCTTCCTTCCCTCCTTCCTCTCTTTTTCTTCCTTCCTTTCTCCCTTCCTCCCTCCCTCTTTCTTTTCCTTCCTTCCTCCTTCCTTCCTTTCTCCCCTCCTCCCTCCCTCCCCACTTTCTTTTCCTCCCTCCCTCCCTCCCACTCTCTTTCTTTTCCTTCCACTGTCCCCCTTTCTCTTTCTTTTCCTTCCTCCTCCTCCCCCTCCTTCTCCTCCCTCCCTCCTCTCTTCTTTTCCTTCCTTCCTTCCTTCCTTCCTTCCTTTCTCCCTCGTCCTTCCCTCCCTCCCTCTTTCTTTTCTTTTCCCCTTCCTTCGTCTCCTCAGAGGTGGGTTTCAGCAGGGTTCTGACCAATTCTGGAGAACCGGTAGCAGAAATTTTGAGTTAGTACAGAGAACCGGTAGCAAAAATTCTGACTGCCCCCCCCACCCCATTATACTCTGCCTCCAAGTCCCAGCTGATTGGGAGGAAATGGGGATTTTGCAGTAACCTTCCCTGGATTGGGGAGGGAATGGAGATTTCATAATATCCTTCCCCTCCCAACCCACAGAACTGGTTAGTAAAAAATTTTGAAACCCACCCTCCTGCTTCCCTCCCCCTCTCTTTCTTTCCCTCCCTCCCTCTCTCTTTCTTTTCTTCCTTCCTTCCTTCCTTCCTTCCTTCCTTCCTTCCTTCCTTCCTCCTTCCTTCCTCCCTCCCTCCCTCTCTCTTTCTTTTCCTTCCTCCCCTCCCCTCCCTCTCTTTTCCTTCCTTTCTTTCTTCCTTCCTCCTCCCTCCCTCCCCTCTCTTTCTTTCCTCTCTCTTTCTTTTCCTTCCTTACTTCCTTCTTCCTTCCTCCTTCCTTCCTCCCTTCTCTCTCTTTTTTCCTTCCTCCCCTCCCCCTCCCTCTCTTTTCCTTCCTTCTTTTTCCTTCCTCCTCCCCCTCCCTCTCTTTCTTTCCCTCCCTCCCTCTCTCTTTCTTTTCCTCCTTCTTCCTCCTTCCTTTCTCCCTCCCTCTCTCTTTCTTTTCCTTCCTCCCCTCCCCCTCCCTCTCTTTCCTTCCTTTCTTCCTTCCTTCCTCCTCCCTCCCTCCCCTCTCTTTCTTTCCCTCCCTCCTCTCTCTTTCTTTTCCTTCTCCCCTCCCTCCCTCTTTCTTTTCCTTCCTCCTCTCTCTTTCTTTTCCTTCCTTCCTTCCTCTTTCCTTCCTCCCTCTTCTCTTTCTTTTCCTTCTCCCCTCTCCCTCCCTCCCTCTCTCTTTTCCTTCCTTTCTTTCTTCCTTCCTCCTCCCTCCCTCCCCCTTCTTTTTTCCTCCCTCCTCCCTCTCTCTTTCTTTTCCTTCCTTCCTCCTTCCTTCTTCCTTCCCTCCTTCCCTCCCTTCCCTCTTTTCCTTCCTTCCCTCCTTCTCCTTCCTTCCTTCCTCCTTCCCCCCTCTCCCTTTCTTTTCCTCCTTCCCTCCCTCTGTCTCTTTCTTTTCTTTCCTTCCTTCCTCTCCCTTAAATATTACTGCCTGTTACTTTTGTTCTTTCTTACTTAAAAAATCTAATGACATTATTAGTAGGGGGAAAAAAAGGATAGAAATAGTCAGGTTGAAAGTATAAGGTCTTCTGCCTTGGGGTTGGACTAGAAGACCTTTAAGGTTCCTCCAGCCCTACAATTCTAGGTCTAATTATAAAGGCAACACCCCACTGAAGTTTCATCAGGAAAGTAATATTTGCTTACAAACCATGCCATCTTGTCAGTTTGCTGTATCATTGTTGGGTTTTTTTAACTCCCTGATCTGTTCTGTGTGTGCTTGGGAAAAGTTTCCTAGCTTCAGACGGCACCTGTTAACTCAACCAGGTTTGTTTGTCATTCCCTGATGTTTATTCATCTGGTTTTAGAAAACCCACCCACTCTCTTTGCAAGTAACCAGCAGTGCTTCTAATACAACTGCTGGTGGACAGTCAGTCAGCTGCAGATTAGGGAGTTGTGAGTAAGACCTCACACCTTGCTTATCCTTCACATTATTTGTGTATCCCCAAAAGCCCAAAACCCAGTTCCTCATATTAGCGAGGGACCAAGCAACCACAGAGCAAAATTCCTTTATGTTGACATGAAGCCTTCAAAGCAAGAATACTCCTGTGTATTATTATCCTGCTGATTCTGCCATCTCTGGTAAGTAAGAAGTTTGAAATTGCTTTTTTTTTCTTTCTCCATTCTTTTTTCCTCATGGGTTTGTTTACAAATATGTATAAGAGCGTAATATTTCAGTGGGCAGAATTATTGAGGGGAAAAATTCAGAGAGGCTCTTTTGGGGAAGAAAAAAAAATGGGATAGTCTGGGAACTCTGCATATTGAGAAATATTTCAAACAATGCCAATGCCATTGCAGAAAATCCAATTTCTTTCTTTCTTTTTTTTTTTTTGCAGAGGTTGCAAATAATTGAGAAAATTTATGAGGTTATGGGGAAACAGAGATTAAGAAAGGATGAGTTGGCATGGGCTGAGAATTTGGTAATTGAGATAGTTGGATGCCTAGAATTTTAATGCTAATTTAGCACTTAAAAGAGAAATTCTCTGCTTTGCTGGTCAATTTAAAGGAGGAAGAAGAGGATATTATAGGAGGTATAGACTTTCCTTCTGTCAAAGAATACCAGAGATATAGAAAAACACATGCCCAGTCCCTTGGGTGCCACCACAACACTTTCTGGTTTGTCTAAAAATAGGCTGCATATCTGAAATATCAATGAAATAGAATTCCATTGAAGGAAAAGAAGCAGTTCTGAGATGTGAAGGATAAATAAATAAATAAAATACCATGCATCAGGAAAACACATATTTGGAATACTGCATCCAGTTTTGGTCACCACAATGTAAAAAATGATGTGGAGACCCTAGAAAGAGTGCAGAGAAGAGCAAGAAAGATAGCTAAGGAGACTGGAGACTAAAACATACAAAGAACAGTTGCAGGAATTGAGTATGTCTAGTTTAATGAAAAGGAGGACTAGGGATGGCATGATAGCAGTCTTCCAATATTTGAGGGTCTGTCACAGAGAAGAGGGGCTCCAATAATTCTCCAAAACACCTGAAGGCAGGACAAGGAATAATGGAGGGAAACTAATCAAGGAGAGAAGCAACTTGGAACAAAGGAGAAATTTTCTGAACAAGTTAGAACAATGAATCAGTGGGATAACTTCTCTCTAGAAGTTGTAAATACTCCAACACTGGAGTTTTCTTTTCTTTTTTTTTGTTTAAAGACACTGTACAATCACTTGTCTGAAATGGTATGTATATAGGGTTTCCTGTCTGAGTAGGGGATGGACTAGAAGACCTCCAGGGTCCCTCCCAACTCTGTAATGATGATGATAATATAGAGGGTATAAGATTTCTTTCTGAGAAAAAATATCAGAGATGTAGATGAAAACACAGAGAAGCCTCCTGTGAGTGCCTCCCCGGCAGTTTCTTACTTGTCTAAAAATAGGCTGTATGTTTGAAATATATCAATGAAAACTCCTTGAGGGAGATTTGGGTAGTTGAGAGGTGTAAAAGATAAACAAACAAACAAACTCCATGCACAAGGAAAACATGGAGCAATTACTTTTGACAAACTGTACTCTCCTGCCTACTTCGGTTGAATGAAAAAACTGGAAGGGAAGTACAGTTTGGTTTGTTTGAGAGGAGTGAAACATAAAAATCTGCTTCAAAATTCAGCTTTTGTCCCCTTTGAGGGGAAAATTGAGGGGTCAAAATTAAGAATCAAAGAGGGGAGGGGGAAATTATTGAAAATCAACATTCGGGGTTTGTTTGTTTGCTTTAATGTTTTCGTTGGAGGCAGAATTGAAGCTGGAAGGGTGAAAGAGTTGCTAAAAATCAAAATTCAGGAGGTTTTCTTCCAAGTGAGGGTAAAATTGAAGGGGAAAAATATTGTTGAAAATCAGAATTCAGGGGGTGTTTCTCTCCCCCCCCTCAATGGGGTTAAAATTAAGGGTTGAAGGGGAAAAATTGTTGAAAAATCTTCCCAATGTTGTGTGTATGTGTTTCTGTCTGTCTGTCTGTCTTTCTGTCTGTCTGTCTCTCTCTCTTATTCCATATTATCTCTTTCTGCCTTTCTATCTCCCTCTCTCTGTTATTCCATATTATTCTGTCTGTGTCTGTCTCTCTTCCTTCTATATATCTCTGTCTGTCTTATTTTCAACATCTATCCATCATTCTTTCCCTATTTCTATCCTATCTATCCTATCTATCTATCTATCATCTATCTATCTATCTATCTATCTATCTATCTATCTATCTATCTATCTATCTATCTATCATGTCTGTCTGTCTGTCTGTCTGTCTATCTATCTATCTATCTATCTATCTATCTATCTATCTATCTATCTCTATCATCTATCTCTATCTCTATCTCTATCATGTCTGTCTATCTATCCTATCTATCTATCTATCTATCTATCTATATATCTATCTATCTATCTATCTATCTATCTATCATGTCTGTCTGTCTGTCTGTCTATCTATATTATCTATCTATCTATCTATCTATCTATCTATCTATCTCTATCATCTATCTCTATCTCTATCTCTATCTCTATCATGTCTGTCTCTATCCTATTATCTATCTATATCTATCTATCTATCTATCTATCTATCTATCTATCTATCTATCTATCTCTATCTATCTCTGTCATCTATCTCTATCATGTCTGTCTATCTAGCCTATCTATCTATCTATCTATCTATCTATCTATCTATCTATCTATCTATCTATCTATCTATATCATCTCTGTCATCTCTCATCTCTCCTCTCTCTCTCTCTCTCTCTCCCTCCCTCCCTCCCTCCCTCCCTCCCTCCCTCTCTTTCTGTCTCTCTCTTCTATCTATTATCTATCTCTATATCTATTTTTAGAATGCTTTACAATTCATGTAACTGGCTCGAAGTTTAATTTCTTCACTGAGAACATCTCAACAAGTGAATGAAAAATAACCGGAAAAACTTCTGACAAGTCCAAATTGTCATTAACATTTTTTTAAAAAACAACAACTTTGCAGTGATGTGACATGGCTTGGCTTTTAGCTTTATTTTCGGGAGGGGGCGCTATCTGTCCAGATGATAAACTTCAATTTTCCCGCCCTATTTTAATTCGTGTTTATAAATTTGCCAGACTGTACATGAGTCTGTCTTGAAATGTTAGGGGAAAAGAAGGAAAGCTACTGTCATCTTGGGCATTGTGATATAATTGTGTGCAAAAGATGCAAATGTTGTCATTTGTATGAATTGTGACACCTACTACCAGATGTCTATGTTGGGGAACCGGAAACGTGGGACACTGACCAAGAACTGATCTGATGGAACATCGTGATGATGTTCATAAGATGTGTCCTCCAGACAGGGGACAACTGACCAAGATCTGATGGAACATCATGATGATGTTTATAAAATGACATTAACAAAACGACACAACAAACTTGGTAAAAAAGTTCATAACATTGGTGTGACTCCCTTAACAACTGCCTTGCTTATCAATGGAAATTCTGGTCATAAGTCGAGGATTGTCTGTAACTGCATTTTGGAGGTGTTTTTTTTTTTTTTTCCCCCAGTGCTGAAGATCTAACGATTATGTTTACAAATAGGATTGCAGAATAATTTTTTTTTTTTTCCTTTAGGAGAAACCTACAGAAATTTTGCCATTTCTCTCCTTACCCAATTTTCCAAACCAGTTTTGTTTGTCTTCTCTGAACTTGACGGAATTTCAAATGCACACCAGTTCTTGATCATTTATATCGATCAGCAGAAAGGAAATATCCTTGGATCAGGGTCTCATGCGTAAAATATACACAGGTAGTTCCCAAATTACAACAGTTCATTTAGTAACTGTTTCAAAGTTACAAATGCACTGAAAAAAGTGACTTATGACCGTTTTTCACACTTCTGACCGTTGCAGCTCCCCGGTGGTCATCTGATCAAAATTGAAAAATAACCGGAAAAACTTCTGACAAGTCCAAATTGTCATTAACATTTTTTTAAAAAAACAACAACTTTGCAGTGATGTGACATGGCTTGGCTTTTAGCTTTATTTTCGGGAGGGGGCGCTATCTGTCCAGATGATAAACTTCAATTTTCCCGCCCTATTTTAATTCGTGTTTATAAGTTTTGCCAGACTGTACATGAGTCTGTCTTGAAATGTTAGGGGAAAAGAAGGAAGCTACTGTCATCTTGGGCATTGTGATATAATTGTGTGCAAAAGATGCAAATGTTGTCATTTGTATGAATTGTGACACCTACTACCAGATGTCTATGTTGGGGAACCGGAAACGTGGGACACTGACCAAGAACTGATCTGATGGAACATCGTGATGATGTTCATAAGATGTGTCCTCCAGACAGGGGACAACTGACCAAGATCTGATGGAACATCATGATGATGTTTATAAAATGACATTAACAAAACGACACAACAAACTTGGTAAAAAAGTTCATAACATTGGTGTGACTCTCTTAACAACTGCCTTGCTTATCAATGGAAATTCTGGTCTCCATTCTGGTCATAAGTCGAGGATTGTCTGTAACTGCATTTTGGAGGTGTTTTTTTTTTTTCTTCCCCCAGTGCTGAAGATCTAAGGATTATGTTTACAAATAGGATTGCAGAATATTTTTTTTTTTTTCCTTTAGGAGAAACTACAGAAATTTTGCCATTTCTCTCCTTACCCCAATTTTCCAAACCAGTTTTGTTTGTCTTCTCTGAACTTGACGGAATTTCAAATGCACACCAGTTCTTGATCATTTATATCGATCAGCAGAAAGGAAATATCCTTGGATCAGGGTCTCATGCGTAAAATATACACAGGTAGTTCCCAAATTACAACAGTTCATTTAGTAACTGTTTCAAAGTTACAAATGCACTGAAAAAAGTGACTTATGACCGTTTTTCACACTTCTGACCGTTGCAGCTCCCCGGTGGTCATCTGATCAAAATGGCAGTTGATTTATATATGATGACCATTGCAGGGTCCCAAGCAAAGTCAAGGGGGAAGCCAGATTCACTTAACAACCATGTAACTAACTTAACCTGCAGTGATTCACTTAACAACGGTGGCAACAAAAGGTCGTAAAACGGGGTAATATTCACCTCACAACTGTCTTGCCTAGCAACAAAAATTTGGAGTGAATTGTGGTCATAAGTCAACGGACTACCTGTAATGGTTTAAATTGCTTTTATTTTTTCCTGTGCCTGTGCTGTACTATTAACAGTAACACGGTTGGAATGGACCTTGGAGGTCATCTAGTCCAACCCCCTGCTTACACAGGGGATCCTATACTATTTTTGACAAATGGCTGTCCAGCCTCCAGTGATGGGGCACCCACAACTTCCGAAGGTAATTTGTGATGAATGGTTAGGAATTTTCTCCTTAGTTTTAGGTTGCTTAGTTTTAGGATAGGATGTCACCTTTTCATTTATTATTTCTAGGTCCTGGCCATGGTTCAGCCAGACTGTGTCCCCGTCATAGAGTGGAAACAAAACGAAACCAACTGCTTAGAAGAGATCCAGCTGCACATGAACGAAACTGCAGGTATACCCAGGTGGACCTGAGAAAAGCAGGGATTTGCCATTTCATTTTGCGATTTGAACATGCTGGGATCTCTCCTGAGAATCAATAATCTTGAGTGTTACTGCTGTATTGACAGTAGAGAATATACTAGACTCTAGAAGTATGCTTGGTGCTCTCTGAGCTTGGATGTTTGCTTATAAGTGTTGCGGGATCTGACTAGGGAACATCATCAGAGCTAGAGGAGGAGGAGGAGGAGGAAGGAGAAGGAAGAAAAAGAAGACGACAGCGAGGAGGAGGCAGAGGAGGAGGAGGAGAAGGAGGAAGGAGAAGGAAGAAAAAGAAGACGAGGCAGAGGAGGAGGAGGAGGAAGAGGAGGAAGAGGAGGAGGAAGAGGAGGAAAGAAGGAAGAAAAAGAAGAAGATGGCGAGGAGGAGGCAGAGAAGGAGGAGGAGAAGGAGGAAGGAGAAGGAAGAAAAAGAAGACGAGGAGGCAGAGAAGGAGGAGGAGGAGGAAGGAGAAGGAAGAAAAAGAAGACAAGGAGGCAGAGAAGGAGGAGGAGGCAAAGAAGGAGGAGGAGGAAGAGGAGGAGGAGGAGGAGGAAGGAGAAGGAAGAAAAAGAAGAAGATGGCGAGGAGGAGGCAGAGAAGGAGGAGGAGAAGGAGGAAGGAGAAGGAAGAAAAAGAAGACGAGGAGGCAGAGAAGGAGGAGGAGGCAAAGAAGAAGGAGGAGGAAGAGGAGGAGGAGGAGGAGGAAGGAGAAGGAAGAGGAGAGGAGAAGGAGAACTATGGCATCCTAGGTGTACTCTGAGCTTGGTGGTTTTCTTGCAGATGATTCAGGACCCAATGAGGTATCATCATCAGGGCTAGAAGAGGAGGAGGTGGAGGAGGAGGAGGAGGAGGAGGAGGAGGAGGAGGAGGAGGAGGAAGAGGAGGACTATGGGATCCTAGGTGTACTCTGAGCTTGGTGGTTTTCTTGCAGATAATTCAGGACCTGAACTAGGGAACATCATCAGGGCTAGAAGGGAACGGGCTTTGCAGGGAGAAGGAAGAATTTGGAGTCTAACCCTAAAGGGTACTTTCCACTCATTATTTTGGGGCAATTTTAAAGTTCATTCAATGGATTGGTGAACTTCGGGCTCTTATGTTGTGTTTCCCTTTCCAAGGATAATGGAGTTATTTTTCTTTTTCTTTTTTTAAATGATTTTTCTTCCATTTGCAAAGGTTGTAAAAGAATATGGGACCAACTTTTATGTTGGCCGGATGCTAATCCTGGAGAGACTTATGCCTTCACCTGTCCAGGCATCATTTTCCACTTCACAAAGCAAACAGGTGAGAAACAGCTTCTTTCTTTCCTTCTGCCTCCCTTCCTCTCTCTCTCCTTTACTTTCTTCCTGTCTTCCTTCCTTCACTCACTCACTCATTCACTCATTCATTCATTCTTGCATTCATTCGTTCATTCATTCATCCACATTCATTCATTCATTCTTGCCTTCCTCTGTCCATTCATTCATTCATTCATTCATTCATCCACATTCATTCATTCATTCTTGCCTTCCTCTGTCCCTCCCTCCCTCCATTCATTCATTCATTCATTCATTCTTGCCTTCCTCCCTCCTTTCCTCCTGATCCTTCCTCTCTTCCTCTCTCTCTCCCTCCCTCCCTTCCTTCTGGATTTTGGTTCATTTTGGCTTTGATCCAGACCCATGTAATTATTTTCTAATCTTCGATTTTTCTTTCCTTAGTACTTCTTAGTCCTCAGTTTACAACCACAAGTGAGCCCAACATTTCTGTTGCTAATCAAGACAGTTGTTAAGTGAAATTTGTCCTACTGAATTACCTTTCTTGCCACAGTTGTTAAGTGAATCACTGCAATTGTTAAGATAGTCTCACTGTCATAAAGTGAATCTGGCTTCCGCATTGACTTTGCTTGACAGAAGGTCGCAAAAGAGGATCACATGACCCCCCCCCCCAGGACATTGCGACCGTCATAAATACGAGTCAGTTGCCAAGCATCCAAATTTTGACTATGGAGATGCTGCAATGGCCATAAATGTGAAAAATGGTCATAAGTAACATTTTTCAGTGCTGTCATAACTTCAAGCAGTCACTAAATGAATGGTTGTAAGTTGAGGACTACTATCTCATGGAAAAGCATGGCTTAGTTTTCACACTTTTTTTGGGAATGAATTGTGCTTATAGGTAGTCGCTCAACTCATCATAATTTCCTATGCAAGACAGTTATTAAGTGAGCTCTGGCTGTTTTTGCAACCTTCTCTTTGCCACCGTCGTTAAGCAAACCACTGCAATTCTTAATTAAATGGTCATTAAATGAATCCGGCCTCCCCCATTGACTTTGCTTTGTGGGAAGGTTGCAAATGGTGATTGCGTGACCCTGGGACACTGCAACCATCATATAAAGACACGCCTGTTGCCAAGCGCCCAAATTTTGATCACATGACTGTGGAGATGTTGGGAAGGTTGTAAGTGTGAGGAGTGGTCGTAAGTCACTTTTTTCAGTGCTGTCGTAATGATCAAATGATCATTAAATGAATGGTTGTAAGTCAAGGACTACCTGTGGTTAGTTTTCACACCTCACAACAAGCCACAGTCAGTCACTATGGGTGTATATGTGCGTGTCACTCTCCAAGCAGATCAGGCAAGGATAAAAATTAAATTTTGTTCTTTATAATCATTTAAACTCGATACGATTAGACTAAAAACCTTGATTTTACCTCAGCTGAACAGGATTTTTGGTTTCAACAGATAAATCTTCATTCCCCCATAATAGACACCATCTCTTCTTTCTAAAGTGGGTCAATTAACCTAATTGCTGTGATTTGACGAAATTGATGTATGTAATTGACATAATTAGGTGGTCGGGGTAAATTTACATCACTGATGTCATTCGCACTTGACAAATGACGTGAATTTCGACATATGACATCAATTACGTAATTACTGAGATAAATAAACTGACCTCAATGGCAGACGTTTACACAATGGGTATAATTCTGGCAATTATGCACATTTGGATTTAATGAATATCCTTTAGTTATTGATTTAGTAGACTTGTTTGCCACCCATCTCATTTCGAGGTGACACTGGGCACCTTATGAATGAGCCTAATAAATAAATTCCCTGGCCTTGGGCTGTCAAATCAAGAATATAACAGAGTCATTCCCATGTATCAATATCACTTTGATTACAAATTATTATAAAATAATAGTGAGAGGATTTAGAAGAACCAGGGTCAAAAAAAATTTTTTTGAAGAAAATTATGGAATGTGCTGAAATGAGCAAATTGACATTTGAAATTAGAGAACAAGAAGATAAACAATATTATAAGATATGGGATTTATTTTATCAATGGCTAGATAATAAAACATGGAAATGAAATAGGGATGAGACTATTATAACATAAGAACGGTAGAAATATACAAAATATAATACAAAGTTGTATGACTATTGTTGATTTGGGACAAAGACATGAATGTTATAATATAAATATTTGAAAATAGCTTTTATGAAAAGAGGGGAAAGCCATAGTTAAATAAATGATTAATGAGGATTATATTACAAAGATACTTATTGGACTGGTAATATGAGAAATTAGATAATTAGTAAGTAATGAATATGGTGAGGAAGCACAAAAGACTTGTAACTGACCGACACACTGTTTGCAATTGTATGGATGATGGATTTATGTTTTATGTTTTGTTTTAAAAATAAAAAAATTCTTTCAAAAACATTTTGGAGTGGGGGACAGGATCTGATATTTAAATCACACTCAAGGTGTGGTCCTTCATGGAACTACATTTACATGGAGGGAAGTATGCAGTGGGGAACTCCAGGAACTTAGTCTCAGGAGCAGAGGCGGGTTTCAGCAGGTTCTGGAGAACCGGTAGCGGAAATTTTGAGTAGTTCGGAGAACCGATAGTAAAAATTCTGACTGGCCCCGCCCCCATCTATTCTCTGCCTCCCGAGTCCCAGCTGATCGGGAGGAAATGCGGATTTTGCAGCAACCTTCCCCTGGATTGGGGACGGAATGGAGATTTTACAGTATCCTTCCCCTGCCACGCCCACCAAGCCACGTCCACCAAGCCATGCCACGCCGCCCTACAGCTGATCAGTGTTAAAAGAAAACAAATGAGTAGACCGGTACAGCTCTGCAAGCAGTTATAAAGCCTGGTAGACCAGGACTTCTGCTAAATCCTAAAGAATTGTCACATGATGATCAAGCCACGCCCACAAAATAAGCCACGCCCACAGAACCGGTAGTAAAAAAATTTAGAACCCACCCCTGTACCAAGGATTGTATTAGGTTTTTTTAGCTTCTGCTGCACACTGCTGTTTCATGTTTAAGGGATCGTCCGCGAGGACTCCAAGGTCCCTCTCCAATTTACTGTTTTTGAGCCAGTTGTCGCCAAAAATTCTTCGACTGCAGCTAGTCCTCAACGTGCGACCGCAATTGACCCCAACATTTATGTTGCTAAGTGAGACGGTTAAGCGAATTTTGCCCCATTTTGCAACCTTTCTTGCCACCGTGAATCACTGCAGTTGTTAAATTTGTACCATGGTTGTTAAGTGGATCTGGCTTCCCCCTTGATTGTCGGAAGGTCACAAAAGGGAATAACATGAACCTGGGACACAAAAAAAACCCGTCATAAATGTGAGTCAGTTGCCAAGCATTTGAATTTTGATCATGTGACTTGTGGGGATGCTACTACGGTTGCAAGTGTGAAAACCGTTCCTAAGTCACTTTTTCCAGTGCCGTCGTAAATTCAAACAGTCCCTAAATGAACTGTTGTTGTAAACCGAGGACTACCTGTGTAGCTTATAATTAAGATATTCCTGGTCTTGCTCCTTGTTCGGACTACATCCAAGGGCTAACACCTTGAGTCGTTGACCCCGGGGGTCCCATCACTTGAATCAATCTAATATTGCTGATTTTAATTTTTCATAGGTATGGTGAAACGAAGTTGCACAGAGCAAGGCTGGTCTGATCCGTATCCACCTTATTCGGTAGCTTGTTCGATGGAAGAAGACGTCTCTATGGATGAAGTGAGTGTGGGGGAGTGGGAGATAAAGACTGATACTGTGTGTCTGTATATCTATGTACGTATGTATGTGTATCTTCTATATCTTCTATATCTATGTTTCTATCTATCTATACCTATCTATCTATCTGTCTGTCTGTCTGTCTGTCTGTCTATCCATCCATCCATCCATCCATCCATCCATCCATCCATCCATCCATCCATCTATCTATCTATCTATCCATCCATCCATCTATCCATCTATCCACCCACCCACCCACCCACCCATCTACCTATCTATCTATCTATCTATCTATCTATCTATCTATCTATCTATCTATCTATCTATTGGTTCGATTTATATGCCGCCCTTCTCCGGAGCCTCAGGGCGGTTTACAATGCGTTAAGCAACAGCCTTCATACTTTTGTATATACCTGCTTAGTAGGGCTTTTGGCCCACCCTAAGCAGTGTTCTTTTTTATACAAAGTCAGCTTATTGCCCCCACAATCCGGGTCCCCATTTTACCTACCTTGAAAGGATGGAAGGCTGAGTCAACCTTGAGCCTGGTGAGATTTGAACTTGCAGTAATTGCAGGCAGCTGGTGTTACTTAATAGCACTTTAATCTGCTGCACCACCAAGGCTCTTATATATCTATCCATCTATCCACCCAACCACCCGTCCATCCATCCATCCATCCATCCATCCATCCATCCATCTATCTATCTATCTATCTATCTATCTATCTATCTATCCATCTATCCACCCATCCACCCACCCACATCCATCCATCCATCCATCCATCCATCCATCCATCCATCTATCTATCTATCTATCTATCTATCTATCTATCTATCCATCCACCCACCCACCCATCCATCCATCCATCCATCCATCCATCCCTTGGATATACAACCCAGTATAACTCTACTTGTCTGGTATGGTCTTCCAAGTTGACCCATTAGACACCCATGATGGAAATTCTGTCCTGCTCTTTAGATGCTACAAGTTGGCAGCCTAAGTCCAGAGCCCTGTGGTGAAATCCCATTGGTGGTGTGAGTGCCATTTTGTAGAAAATTGATCTCTCTTCATTCTACACCAGGGGTCCCCAACTCCCGGGCCACGGCCCTCTACCGGGACCTTGCCTATTTGGAACTGGGCTGTGTGACCGGAGATCTCACATACATACTCATACATACATGCGAACTTCTGACAAGCAAAGTCAATGTGGGAAGCCAAATTCACTTAACAACCGTCTTACTATCTTAACAGCTGCAGCGATTCACTGAATAATTGTGGCAAGACAGGTCATAAATTGGGGCAAAACTCACTTAACAACTGTCTCGCTTAGCGACAGATATTTTGGGCTCAATTGTGGTCGTACGTTGAGGGTCATGTGCTCACCCCTTCATAACGTTCACAGATCACAAGCAAAATCAACGACGGAAGCCGTAGACCTCAGTGTGATTCGCTGAACAACAACGTCCAAAAAAACCAAAAAAACAGGGCCACAGCTCACTTAAAAGTACTGCCTCACTTAGCAGCAGAAATTTGGGGCTCGACTGTGGTCGTAAATCAAGGACTATCTGTATTTTAGCGTCGAGTGGAGATGTTCTGCTGCCTGGGTGGTTTTTTTTTTGTTTTCTGTGTTGTTGTTTTTTTCCCCTTTCAAACTGGGTTAAAATAATTGGCGCCAGCGGATTCGGGATTTAGGTGAAGTTCTCTTGAGGTGGGTATTTCAATTCACAGGACCGAAAATAGAATTTCAAAGGCGAGCAGAGCATCGCCTCTGTGGGATGATCGACTCGTATGTATGTCACTACAAATGGCGGAGAGATGCCGTGTTAAGCTGCTCCCGCCTGCCCCTCCTCGCTTTTCAATGGTGAACAGCAGGACTCCACAATCTTCAGAGTGGTGCTTGACCTCGATGGGGGTTTGAGTGAAGGGTCTCTTTCGACGCCTCTGCGAACAGCAGATTCGTCTGGACTTCCTTTAATAATTGGACACAACCAGGCAACCCTCTCAATGCTCATTATTTTCCATGTCCTTAACGCGCCAATTGTGTGGTGCTGGCATTAATTGTAGGGACCCCGCCGTCAAGCTGTCAACATCCTGAAGAGAGAAGTGGGGAAGGAGAAGAAGGCTGTCATGAGATTAGGATGAATTGAGATAAACACCCATCTCCCCCGTCAGTCACGGAGAGAAGGGGGTACCTGCAGCTCAGGGTTGAATTGCGGGGGTCCTTGGGGCTCTCTAAGCTCGGTGGCTTTTCTTACAGATGTTTCATGTCCCTATTAGGTAACACCATCAGTGCTAGAAGGGAGGGGGGTTTGGGAGGAGGAGGAGGAGGAGGAGGAGGAGGACGACGACTATGGGGTTCTTGATGATCTCTGAGCTTGGGGGTTTTCTTGTAGGCCTTTCATGACCCTATTAGGTAACATCATCAGTGCTAAAAGGAGGGGAGTTACAGGGAGGAGGAGGAGGACTGTAAGGGTCCTTATTGCTCTCTGAGCTTGGTTGTTTTCTTGAAGAAGTTTAATGACCCAACTAGGTAACACCAGGGATGAAATCCAGCAGGTTCTGACAGGTTCTGGAGAACCGGTAGCGGAAATTTTGAGTAGTTCGGAGAACCGGCAAATACCACCTCTGGCTGGCCCCAGAGTGGGGTGGGAATGGGGATTTTGCAACATCTTTCCCCCAGGAGTGGGGAGGGAATGGGGATTTTGCAGTATCCTTCCCCTGCTATGCCCACCAAGCCACGCCCACCAAGCCATGCCCACAGAACCGGTAGTAAAAAAAAAAATGGATTTCACCACTGGGTAATACCATCACTGCTAGAAGGGAGGGGGTTTGCAGGGGAAAGGAGGAGGAGGAGGAAGAGGAGGAGGAGGTAGAAGAAGAAAAAAAGGACTATGGGGTTCTTGGACTTGGTGCTCTCTGAATTTGGGGGTTTTCTTGCAGGCATTTCTTGACCTAACTAGGTAACATCATCAATGCTAGAAGGAAGTTGGGTTTGTGGAGAGGAGGAGGAGGAGGAGGTGGAGATTGTGGGGTCCTTGATGCTCTCTGATCTTGGTTGTTTTCTTGCAGATATTTCATGACCCAATTAGGTAACATCCTCCTCCCTGCAAACTCCATTCCCTTTTTTTAAAAAAAAAAATAATTTAATTTTTAAATTTTATTTATATGCCGCCCTTCTCTGGAGACTCAGGGCGGCTTACAATGCGTTAAGCAATAGCCTTCATACTTTTGTATAAACCTGCTTAGTAGGGCTTTTGGCCCACCCTAAGCGGTATTCTTTTTTTATACAAAGTCAGTTTATTGCCCCCACAATCCGGATCCTCATTTTACCTACCTCGAAAGGATGGAAGGCTGAGTCAACCTTGAGCCTGGTGAGATTTGAACTTGCAGTAATTGCAGGCAGCTGATGTTAATAACAGTGCTTTAGTCTGCTGCGCCTCCAGGGCTCTTGAACTGGTAAAGTTCCTTAAATGGGTCATGAGACGTCTGCAGGAAAACTATGAAGCTCAGAGAGCACCAAGGACCAAACCACAAATCAAGGTTTGCTTGGTATCTCTGTGCTTCAGCTAACTAAAACTGAGAATAGGGTGACCGATATGATCTTGAAGCGGGGAACAATCTATCCTTGATTTCTCTCCGTGGCCATTTCGTGACCTTATGGAGTAACACCGCTTGGTCGCAAACTTGTGACTCCAATTTCAGGCAAATCCCAAAGTGTGTGAAAGAGCTGCAGTGGGGATTTAACACTCATACTGTGTGTAACCTTGAAGGGGGAGTCCCATCCTTGGGGGGTGGGGGCTCATGGGAGTTACAGATGCAAAAAGTATGGGATTATCCCAGGGGGGTCTCCAATCTTTCTGGCTTTGCGGACCGGAAGTGGGTGTGGGGAGGAGAGGGGATGGCTGTGTGGAAGCAGCAGGCACATGAATTCACACAAGCACCTCCATTTATGTAAGGGACAGGTGTGCACCCCAGGGATGAAATCCAGCAGGTTCTGACAGGTTCTGGAGAACCGGTAGCGGAAATTTTGAGTAGTTTGGAGAACTGGCAAATATCACCTCTGGCTGGCCCCGAAGTGGGGAGGGAATGGGAATTTTGCAGTGTCCTTCCCCCAGGAGTGGGGTGGGAGTGGGGATTTTGCAGTATCCTTCTCCCAGGAGTGGGGAGGGAATGGGGATTTTGCAGTGTCCTTCCCCCAGGAGTGGGGTGGGAGTGGGGATTTTGCAGTATCCTTCCCCCAGGAGTGGGGTGAGAATGGGGATTTTGCAGTATCCTTTCCCCAGGAGTGGGGTGGGAATGGGGATTTTGCAGTATCCTTCGCCCAGGAGTGGGGTAGGAATGAGGATTTTACAGTATCCTTCCCGCAGGAATGGGGAGGGATTGGAGATTTTGCAGTATCCTTCGCCCAGGAGTGGGGTGGGAATGGGGATTTTACAGTATCCTTCCCGCAGGAATGGGGAGGGATTGGAGATTTTGCAGTATCCTTCCCCTGGAGTGGGGAGGGATTGGAGATTTTGCAGTATCCTTCCCCTGGAGTGGGGTGGGAATGGGGATTTTCAGTATCCTTTCCCCAGGAATGGGGATTTTGCAGTATCCTTCCCCTGGAGTGGGGTGGGAATGGGGATTTTGCAGTATGCTTTCCCTGCCACGCCCACCAAGCCACACCATGCCACCAAGCCACGCCCACAGAACCAATAGTAAAAAAAATTGGATTTCAACCAGTGGTGCACACCCATCACATTGCACGCACTTGCAAGTCGCAAGGCCCGATACCAGATTATACCGCTTGGGCACTGCTAGATTATCCTCTCTTTTCTGGCTTTCTCTGTGGCTCTCATTCCACCCAGGTTAAAGAAAATAGAGCTAAGCTTGAGCAATTAGGAAGTCCTGGATGAGATGTCAAGAAGGGATCTTGTAGGAGAAACAGCCTGGAGAGAGAGGGAAGCGTGAGAAAGGAACTCAAGACAACCCCAGATAAACATCTGATTTCCTTTTCATTCCAGCTTTCTTTCTTCTCAACGATCCAAATCATCTACACTGTGGGATACAGCATCTCAGCTGTCTCTCTTGCCATCGCAATCGTTGTCCTCCTTGCATGCAGGTATGTAGGTTTCCAGGATCCTGGAAGTAAAACTCAGGACAATATTTACATCCTCCTCTCCTCATTATTATTATTGTTGTTGTTGCTGTTGTTGTGGGTCTTGAACTCACCGCCTCTTGGTGATTGGCCCAAAGTCACCCTGACAGCTTTCATGCCTAAAGTGGGACTAGAACTCACCATCTCCTGGTGATTGGTCCAAAGTCACCTAGCTGGTTTTCATGCCTAAAGTTGGACTAGAACTCACCATCTCCTGGTGATTAGTCCAAAGTCACCTAGCTGGTTTTCATGCCTAAAGTGGGACTAGAACTCACATCTCCTGGTGATTAGTCCAAAGTCACCTAGCTGGTTTTCATGCCTAAAGTTGACTAGAACTCACCATCTCCTGGTGATTAGTCCAAAGTCACCTAGCTGGTTTTCATGCCTAAAGTTGGACTAGAACTCACCATCTCCTGGTGATTAGTCCAAAGTCACCCTGACAGCTTTCATGCCTAAGGCGGGACTAGAACTCACCATCTCCTGGTGATTAGTCCAAAGTCACCCTGACGCTTTCATGCCTAAGGCGGGACTAGAACTCACCATCTCCTGGTGATTGGCCCAAGGTCACCTAGCTGTTTTTCATGCCTAAAGTGGGACTAGAACTCACGATCAACCTGTGACTGGCCCAAAGTCATCCAGCCAGCTTTCTTGCTTAAGGCAGGACTAGAAGTCACAATCTCCCAGTTTCTACCCTGGGTCTTTAACCACTAGACCAAACTGTCTCTCATTAGTGGCATATGTCTCACCATAGGAAATATATCTTCCTCCCAACCCATTTCAGTTGTGTGTTCGACATTTATTGCAAAAGGGTTACAATATGAGTGCTGCACTTGCTGCAACAAATCTGTGGGGCTGAGCCATGCACTTATTTCCATTCTGCCGGTGAATAAAGGTACTCCTTGACCTACGGTTAAGTTCAAAAAAGATTCCCTCAGATGCTCGGGATGCAATTATCCACAATTCCAGCTTCCTCCACAACCATCATTATTTCTTGACAAATATATTTATTGCATGAAAGTTCTACCTTTAGAACTTTAGTGCAATCAATTTACTTCTTTGATTCTTCCAAGCAGGGGTGAAATGCTCCCGGTTCGGACCGGATCGCCCGATCCGGTAGCGATGAAGGCAGGTGGGTCGGAGAACCGGTAGCAAAAATCCCTGCCTCCCCCCCATTGCCCAGCTAAGCAGCGCAATCATCAGAGGCTTTTTGCCCCCAACAATCTGGGTCCTCATTTTACCCACCTTGAAAGGAGGGAAGGCCGAGTCAACCTTCAGCCTGGTGAGATTCGATCCACCAAATTGTAGGCAGCCGGCAGTCAGCAGAAGTAGCCTGCAGTACTGCACTCTAACCACTGCGTCACCACGTCTCATAGTACTACAGGTAGTCCTTGACTTACAACCATTCATACAGTGACCGTTCAAACTTACAATGGCACTGAAAAAAGGACTTATGACCGTTTTTCACACTTACAACCGTTGCAGGATCCCCATAGTCACATGATCAAAATTCAGAGGTGTGGCAACTGGTTCATATTTATGACAGCCGCAGTGTCACACGGTCCCTTTTTGTGACTTTCTGTCAAGCAAAGTCAATGGGGAAGCCAGATTCCCTTAACAACCACGTGACTCACTTAACAACTTTATCTGATTCACTTAATAACCTGGGGCAAGAAAGGTTGTACTACGGAGCAAAACTCACCTAACAACTGCCTTACTTAGCAATGGAAGTTTGTGGCTCAGTTGTGGTTGTAAGTCGAGGACTCCCTGCAATGCTTTAGGGGACATAAGTTGGATTGACCCTTATGGATTCCCATCAGCCTAGTATATCTTCTCTCTTCCTGCAGGAGACTCCGATGCCCCAGGAACTACATCCATGTCCACCTTTTCTCTACCTTCATCTTGAAGGCCATTGCGATCTTCATCAAGGACGCGGTCCTCCTGGACGGTGAAGGGAGTGATTACTGCACCTTCTCCACGGTATGGGAGTGAAAAGAAGAGGGTTCATAGAATCCTAGGGCCTGAGGGAGCTTTGGAGATCTTCTAGTCCAACCTCACTGCTCAAGGTGGGAGAACTTATATCATCCTGATCAAATGGTCTATTTTTGATGGGATATCACCTCCAGTGATGGAGCAACGAGAACTTCTGGAGGCAAGCTGTTCCATTGGTTAATTGTTCTCACTGTCAGGAAATTTCTCCTTAGTTCCAGGTTGTTTCTTTCCTTGATTAGTTTCCACCCGTTGCTTCTTGTCCTGCCCTCGGGTGCTTTGAGAATAGAATAGAATAGAATAGAATAGAGTAGAGTAGAGTAGAGTAGAGTAGAGTAGAGTAGAGTAGAGTAGAGTAGAGTAGAGTAGAGTAGAGTAGAGTAGAATAATAGAATAGAGTAGAGTAGAGTAGAGTAGAGTAGAGTAGAATAAGAGAGTAGAGTAGAGTAGAGTAGAGTAGAATAGAATAGAATAGAATAGAATAGAATAGAATAGAATAGAATAGAATAGAATAGAATAGAATAGAATAGAATAGAGCTGGGAAGGACCTTGGAGGTCTTTTAGTCCAATGTTCAAGCAGGAGAACCTAGACCATCTCAGATAAGTGACTATCCAGACTCTTCTTGAAATCCTCCAGTGATGAAGCTCCACAACTTCTGAAGGCAACTTCTGTTCCCTTGGTTGATTGCTCTCACTGTCAGAAATTCTCCTTACTTCCAGGTTGAATGTCTCCTTGTTCAGTTTCCATCCATTATTCCTTGTCTGGCCTTCAGGTGCTTTGGGAAATAGCTTGACCCCTTCCTCTCTGTGGCAGCCCCTCAAATATTGGAAGACTGCTATCATGTCTTCCCTGGTCCTTCACTTCACTAGACTAGCCATGATGCCCAGTTCTTGTAACCCTTCTTCATACATTTTAGTCTCCAGTCCCCTAATCAACCAGGTTGCTCTTCTCTGCACTTTTCCTAGAGTCTCAACATCTTTTTTATACTGTGGTGACCAAAACTGGATGCAGAATTCTGGGTGTGGCCTTACTAAGGCCTTACAGAGTGGTATTAGTACCTTCCTTGATCTTGATTGTATCCCTCTGTTAATGCAGTTTAGGATGGCATTGGCTTTTTTGGCACACGGATGGCTCCTATTTAGCTGGTTGTCCACTAAGACTCCAAGATCCCTTTCACAGTCACTGCTACTAATCCTGGTTTCCCCCAGTCTATAGGTGTCCCTTTGGTTTTTCTTGCCTAAGTGTAAGGTAGTCTTCGACTTATAACCGTTCATTTAGTGACCATTTGAAGTTACAAAGGGACTGAAAAAAAGTGGCTTATGGCCATTTTCCACACTTACGACCGTTGCAGCCTCCCCATGGTCACGTGATCAAAATTCAGAGGCTTGGGAGCTGGCTCATGTTTATGACTGTCGCAGCGTCCTGCGATCATATGTTCCCCTTTTGCGACCTTCTGACAAGCAAAGTCGTGCGGAAACCAGATTCACTTAACAACCTAGTGACTGGCTTAACAACTGCAAGGATCCACTTAACAACAGTGGCAGGAAAGATCATAAAATCGGGCAAAACTCACTCAACCACGGACTCACTTAGCAATGGAAATTTTGGGCTCAGTTGTGGTCATAAGTCGAAGACTATTTATGGGCAGCTGGGATACAAAATGCATCTTTCCCAGTTATTTAGGCCTTCTCCCATCCTGCGGAGTCCTACCACAGAATTACAATGTCTGAAGGAAGCAGCAGAAGGATAATCGAGTTGAGGTTGACTTCTAGTTCATCCAGGATTAGAAACACGGCCCCTTGTGCATTAGTCCAGGCCACGTCTGGCCCTCGGCTGGGAGACGAAGGTTGATATCTACTCTGGAAGCTCTCAAAACACTTGAGAAAGCTCTCAAAGGCAATATAAAGATGAAAGTTACTTTCAGGCGGCGAGGAATGGTGCCATTTCGGACACAAAACTCACCTCCAGTGTTTGTGTCGTAACAAAAGGAAGCTCTCAACTAAATGTCAGGGGAATCCACTTGACGGCATTGATTGAATACACCAGGAATGGACATGTTGAGCGAGTAGCGTTACAAGCAAACCGCACGTAGCTCTCTACTCATATTTTTCTGCCTCCTTTGCAATCTTCCCTTGTCTTCAGAGAGTTATCTGCATCTTCTGGGCTTTTGAGAGTTTCTCAAAGTTGCCCAAATCCAGTGGGGAAAATAACTTTGCGTAGATCCTTCAAGGTTGGGTGGTACGGATGACTTTGATTCATCGAACGGAACAGAATAACAGAGTTGGAAGGGACCTTGTAGGTCATCTAGTCCAACCCCACCTCCTGCCCAAGCAGGAGATCCTAGGCCATTTCAGACAAATGGCTGTCCAATCTCTTCTTGAAAACTTCCAGTGATGGAGCGCCCAAAACTCCTGAAGGGAAGCCGTTTCACTGGTTAATTGTTCTCATTGAATTTCTCCTTCATTCTAGATTGGTTCTCTCCTTGATTAGTGTCCAACCATTATTCCTTCTTCTGGCCTTCAGGTGCTTTGGAGAATAGCTTGACTCCCTCTTCTTTGTGGAAGCCCCTGAGATATTGGAGGACTGCCATCATGTCTCCCCTAGTCCTTCTTTTCATCAAACTAGACATACCAAAATTCCTGCAACCGTTCTTCATAGGTTTCAGGCAGGGGTGGGTTCTAAATTTTTTTACTACCGGTTCTGTGGGCGTGGCTTATTTTGTGGGCGTGGCTTGTAGGTCATGTGACTAGGTGGGCGTGGCTAGCTGGTCAGAGTCATTTCTGGAAGGTCCTCGCACTTACGACCAGTCCTTGCACTTACGACCCGACTCATTTGTTTGCTTTTAACACTGATCAGCTGTAGGGCGGCCCTTGGAAGCCCCGCGGCAAGAGTTTAAACAGTTTTTTTTCCCTCTAGTCATCAGCTGGGACTCAGGAGGCAGCAATAGATTGGGGGTGGGGCCAAATAAAAGGTAAGAATAACGTGGGGGGTGGGCAGGCGGGGGGGGAAGAACCGGTTCGATGACATCATATCGTCACCGCTACCGGTTCGGCCGAACCGGACTAAACCGGGAGGAACCCACCACTGGTTTCAGCCTTCAGTATCCTAATCCTCTTTGTTGCTCTTAGAACCTTATTTTTTCCTCACCACTGAATTTCATTTTGCTAGATCTTTCTTGAGCTCATCGTCTGGGATGTTGGGGGGCTATTCCTGCCAGGTTTCCTTTCCCAAGATGTTTAGAGATAGGATTTGTTCTGAGTGAACCACGCCAATGAGAATTTTCCTTGAGATGTTTCCTTGCTTCTTCCACAGGCCGGATGTAAGATCTCGGTGGTCTTCCTTAACTTTTTCACCATGGCCAACTTCATGTGGCTCTTAGTAGAAGCTCTGTACCTCAACTACCTGCTCCTCTCTTCCTTCCCCCAAGGAAAGAAATTCTACTGGTGGCTTGTCTTCTTTGGATGGGGTAAGTCAGGCTGACCCACTTTCTTCCCTTGTGTCTTGTTTTGGTTTTTTAAGTGATGGGATTAAACCAGGGGTGAAATCCAGCAGGTTCTGACGAACCGGTAGCGGAAATTTTAAGTAGTTCGGAGAACCAGCAAATGCCACCTCTGGCTGGCCCCAGAGTGGGGTAGGAATGGAGATTTTGCAATATCCTTACTCCAGGAGTGGGGAGGGAATGGGGATTTTGCAGTATCCTTCTCCTGCCACTCCCACCAAGCAACACCACACCCACCAAGCCACGCCCACAGAACCAGTAGTAAAAAAATTTGGATTTCATCACTGGATTAAACCACTAACACTGAAGGAATATCATTAGCATGATATAGGACCATGATGGCGAACCTATGGCACGGGTGCTACAGGTGGCACGCAGAGCCGTTTCTGTGGGCACGCAGAGCCGTATCTGTGGGCACGCGAGTGTTGCCCTAGCTCAGCTCCAGCACGCATGCGCACGCCGGCCACCTGATTTTTGGCCCTTCCGGGCCCACCGGAAATCAGGAAAGAGGCTGTTTCCAGCCTCCAGAAGGCCTTCGGAGGGATGGGGAAGGCAGTTTTCACCCTCCTCAGGCTCCTAGAAAGCCTCTGGAGCCTGGGGAGGGTGAAAAACAGGCTTATCGGGCCCAGCGTGCCAAAAGCGGGGGGAGCACAGGGATGGGGTCACACATGTGCGGGGAGACAGGGCGCATTGAATTATGGTTGTAGGCACACACGTGCACAAACCCCCTGCGTTCCCCCCACTTTTGGCACGCGACGGCAAAAAGGTTAGCCATCACCGATATAGGATAACCAGTAAGGAACCTGGCTAGAAAGTGAGAGGAAAGCCGGTTGGGTGACGTTGGACCAATCGCCAGGAGACTGGGAGTTCTAGTCCCGCCTTAGGCATAAAAGCCAGCCATGTGACTTTGGGCCAATCACCAGGCGACTGGGAGTTCTAGTCCCGCCTTAACTGGGTGATTTTAGTCGCACCTTTAAAAAAAGCCAACTGAGCGACTTTGGCTCAGTTCCTTTCTCTCGGCCCACCCCACCCAGTAGAGTTGTTGTTGTGGGGAAAATATGTGGAGGAAGATGTGTTGGATATGTTTGCCACCTTGAGCTGTTTGTAAACATAATAAAGGCGGGATACACATAAACAAACTCAATGTGATGCGTATAGAATTATCTCTCTTTCCCCCTTTAGCCATTCAACCAAGGGAGACAGAACACGTTCTAACAACCATTTCCACTCACGGGCAAAAATAGCTTTCTCTAGTTGAGCTTCAGCATATGAAATCCATATTTTTGCATTACCTTGTGGAGTTGCAGGAACAGATAGATCTATCTTTAAAACGTTCACAGTTTTTTTCCAAGCACATCATTTTAATTTGCTTCTGCTTAGCTCAAACTATGAACTTTTTTTTTAAAAAAAAAAAAGCTGCAGAAAATGGGGGTATATTCACACACATGCTACTCTTTACCTGTGAACAATACCCCTAATCAAGGAATTATCAACTCAGACAAACAAGCTCAAAGTGTATGATGGAGATGGGCAGTTAAGATGTTCGAGAAAGAGAGGAGAGGGGGGAGAGAAAGAAAACAAGAAAGGAAGGAAGGAAAGAATGGGGAGCGAGAGAGAGAAAGAAAGAGAAAGGAAGAGAGAGAGAAAGAAAGAGAAGGAAAGAGAGAGAGAAAGAAAGAAAAAAAGAGAGAAAAAGAAAGAACAAGAGAAAGAAAAAAGGAAGGAAGGAAAGAAAGAAGAGAGGAAGAAAGAGAGAGAAAGAAAGAAAGAGGAGAAAAAGAGAAAGAAAGAAAACAAGACAAAAAGAAAAAAGAAAGGAAGGAAGGAAAGAAAGAAGAGAAAGAAAGAGAGAGAGGGAGATAGAAAGAAAGAGAGAAAGAAAGAAAGAAAGAAAAAGAAAAAAGAGAACACCAAGGACCCCACCATTAGAATCACCTAACCCTGGGACACTACGACTGTCATAAATACGAATCAGTTGCCAAGCGTCTGAATTTTAATCACATGACTATGAGGATGTCCCTTTTTCCAGTGCTGTCGTAACTTAGGGCAGTCACTAAACGAACGGTCGTAAGTGGAGGTCTACCCGTGTTTTCTACAAAGCCATCTCTGTTTGATGAACTAACTGGATGGTTGGCTCTAGCTAGTCCTGGGGACGTTTCACTGCAATTTGTAAAAGCTAAATGTAGAATATCGATTTTTCTTTTCTCTCTCTCCTTTTTTCTCCCACTCCTGCTGCAAATTCCGGGTTGTTTTGTGAATCCCCGGGAGGAGAGGGGAGGGCAGCCCTTGGCAGAGTTGAATGCATTCACAAATTCTCTTTTCTCTTTCTTTTCAAGGTTCCCCGACATTCTTCACCACCCTGTGGATATTTCTGAAAGTGTATTTTGAAGACATTTTGTAAGGCTGACCTTTTTCTCACATTGCTGCAAAGTTTGTGTGTTGTGTATGTGTGTTAATGGTGGGTTCCTTCTGGTTCCGCCCGGTTCGGCCAAGCCGGTAGCGGTGATGATATGATGTCACTGAACCGGTTCTCTTTGTTTGGGAACTGCCCCCCCCGCGTTATTCTTACCTTTTATTTGGCCCCACCCCCAATCTATTGCTGCCTCCTGAGTCCCAGCTGATTGGCTAGAAGGAAAAAAATTGTTTAAACTCTTGCCGCGGGGCTTCCAAGGGCCGCCCTACAGCTGATCAGTGTTAAAAAGGCAGTGTGGTGGTAGACCGGTGCCTGCAAAAACAAATGAGTAGACTGGTGCCTCCAAAAATAAATGAGTAGACCGGTGCCTCCAAAAACAAATGGGTACACAGGTGCCCTCCAAAAACAAATGAGTAGACTGGTGCCTGCAAAAACAAATGAGTAGACTGGTGCCTGCAAAAACAAATGAGTAGACTGGTGCCTGCAAAAATAAATGAGTAGACTGGTGCCTCCAAAAACAAATGAGTAGACCAGTGCCTCCAAAAACAAATGGGTACACAGGTGCCTCCAAAAACAAATGAGTAGACCGGTGCCTGCAAAAACAAATGAGTAGACCGGTGCCTCCAAAAACAAATGGGTACACAGGTGCCTCCAAAAACAAATGAGTAGACCGGTGCCTGCAAAAACAAATGAGTAGACCGGTGCCTCCAAAAACAAATGGGTACACAGGTGCCTCCAAAAACAAATGAGTAGACCGGTGCCTGCAAAAACAAATGAGTAGACCGGTGCCTCCAAAAATAAATGGGTAGACTGGTGCCTCCAAAAATAAATGAGTAGACCAGTGCCTCCAAAAACAAATGGGTACACAGGTGCCTCCAAAAATAAATGAGTAGACTGGTGCCTCCAAAAACAAATGAGTAGACCAGTGCCTCCAAAAACAAATGGGTACACAGGTGCCTCCAAAAATAAATGAGTAGACTGGTGCCTCCAAAAACAAATGAGTAGACCAGTGCCTCCAAAAACAAATGGGTACACAGGTGCCTCCAAAAACAAATGAGTGACCGGTGCCTGCAAAAACAAATGAGTAGACCGGTGCCTCCAAAAACAAATGGGTACACAGGTGCCTCCAAAAACAAATGAGTAGACCGGTGCCTGCAAAAACAAATGAGTAGACCGGTGCCTCCAAAAATAAATGGGTAGACCGGTACAGCTCTGCAAGCAGTTAAAAGCCTGGTAGACCAGTACCTCTGCTAAATCCTAAAGAATTGTCACATGACAACCTCAAGCCACGCCCACAAAATAAGCCACGCCCACAGAACCAGTAGTAAAAAAATTTAGAACCCACCCCTGACACCTCCATGGTTAGTTACATGATCAAAATCCGGGCGATTGGCAACTGACTCATATTTATGACAGTTGCACGGTCCCATGATCCCCTTTGGCGACCGTCGATAAGCAGAACCAATGGGGAAGCCGGATTCACTTAACAACCGTGTGGCTAACTTAACAACCGCAGCATTCACTTAACAGCTGTGGCAAGAAACAAGAGGTCATAAACTGGGGCGAGACTCATTTAACAAATGTCTCACTTAGCTCACGGAAATTTCGGGGACAATTGTGGCTGTAAACCGAGGACTATACCTGTGTTCCAAAGTCAAAATTAAAATCGGCGAGCACCCCTGGCCATTCAAAGCCCAGGCACTTCCAATTTAACAAAATTCACATGTACTTTTCAAGTTCTTGACAAAACTTTTATTCAGTAAAATCATACTGTATGTGGGATAAAATAACAATTTAACAGAGATGAAAGGGTCCCTGGAGGTCTTCTAGTCCACCCCCCTGCTCAGGCAGGAAACCCTATACCAGTGATGGCTAACCTTTGGCTGATGCCAAAAGTGTGCGCGTGCAAATGCACGCACAAAACCCCAAAATACAACGTGAACCCACCTGTGCATGCAGCCTGCAACCCCTCACCCTGTTTTGGCTTCCAGGTTGGTGCAAGAGGCCTTCTAAGTTCAAAACACGCCCCCCCCAAAATGCAATGCAAATGGCCCCCATGCATGCGTCAGCTCCCCCACGCATTTGCGCATGCATCCCCCGCATGCCCCCACTCCGCACGCATGCATGGCGGAGACCTGAAGACCAGCTGGCCGCGAACCCTCAAAATGCAATGCGAACGCCCCCTTGCATGTGGCCCGCCCCCACGCATTTGCATGTACATCCCCACATGTGCCCCCCTCCCCCTCCGTGCATGCACGGCAGAGACCTGAAGACCAACTGGCCTGCGGGAGGTCCGTGTGCATGCACGGTGGAGCTGGGCTGGGCCGACAGCTGGCGTGCCCGCAGAGAGAGCTCTGTGTGCCACGCGTGGCAGGCATGCTGTAGATTCGCCATCACAACCCTATACCAGTTCAGACCAGTGGCTGTCCAGTCTCATCTTTGAAAATCTCCAACGATGGAGCAGCCACGGCTTCCGGAGAGAAAACGTTCCACTGATTAATTGTTCTCACTGTCAGGAAAGTTGTAGATTGCATCTTCTAGTTTGCTTAATGCATTGTAAGCCGCCCTGAGTCTCCTGAGAAGGGCGGCATATATAAATCGAACTAATAAATAATAAATAAATAAATAGTTAATCACCTCAGGAGTAGTAGTCACAATAATCAGATTTGTGACGATGCTCGTTACGGTGATATTCTACAAAACGTCCTCAAAATTGTGTGGATATGAACGGCGATCCTTCCTCCAATCTGATGCCCTCAGAAAAACCGCAGTCCCTCCGAAAACAAAGCCAAGGGAAAGGGAGGAAAATCTAATATTAACAGATATTTTAATATATAAATATTATATATATATAATTAAATATATATATTATATAATACATTTATATTTATATAAATATATATTTATATAATAAATTAAATATTAATATATATATAAGCATTAACCATCATGGCTCTCTCTCTCTTTCTCTCTCTCTCTCCCTCTCCAGGTGCTGGGACACAAACCAAGATTCCCCTTACTGGTGGATTATCCAAGGCCCCATCATGGTCTCTGTGGCGGTGTGTATCTGGTTTCCAGTTTCCTTTATGTCAGTGGTAGGAATGGCAACTGGTTTTGCTACCAATATATATGAGCAAAAGACATATGGTGCTGATGGCCCAGTGTTCTCTGAAGGAAAGTCAAAAAAGTCAAAATGGCGGCCGCAGCCTTGTCATCAGCGCCCCTTCCTTTTTGATAGGTGTAAAAACGGCAAAGAAGTAATTCTTAATTTTAAAATACACTGACAACAGTCTGCTTAGTGACCGTTCGAAGTTACAATGGCACTGAAAAAAAGTGACTTAGCAACATTTTTTGTTGTTGGTGGTGGTGGTCTTTTAATGACCCCATAATCCCTTATATCGGGGTGGAGCGCAGGGTAACTGAATGGAGCTGAGTGTTTACTAGCCGGATGCCCTTCCTGTCACCAATGCAGTGTTCGCAGCAAATTGTGCCGAGAGAGAGAAATATTTGCTGCTACCTAGGATTGAACTCACAGCCTCCTGATTGTGAGGCGAGAGCTCCACCTCTAGGCCACTGCACCACTCACTTAGCAACATAAATGTTGGGCTCAAATGTTCCAGTTGCTGGAAAAGAAAAGATCTAGAAGAAGTATCTGAGGGAAAGGAGATATGGGTGAAAAAATAGTCAAAATGGTAGCCGTAACAATAGAGTTGAAATCATCTGCCTGAAAGAATATAGAACGAAGCAACTTAATTTGTGAGGTTATTCAGAATTGTGGCAGATGTGGGAAGCCTATAAATTCGGTACTGGTGGTCCTTGAGTTACAACCATTCATTTAGTGACTGATCGAAGTTACACTGGCACGGAACAAATTAACTTATGACCAGTCCTCACACTTACAACCCACCACAGCATCTCCATAGTAAAGTGATCAAAATCCAGGTGTTTGAAATTTGGCCAGTGTTTATGACGGTTGAAGCATCCTGGGGTCATGTGATCACTATTTGTGACCTACCCAGCTAGCTTCCAAGCAAACTCCAAGGGGGGGGGGGAAGAACCTGATTCACTTAATGACTGTGCAGTTCACTTAACAACGATTAAGTGCAGCGATTGGCTTATCCACCATGGCGGAAAAAAAAAGGTCGTAAAATTGGATTTGAGTCACTTTACAACCTTCTTGCTTTAGCAAACGGAAATTTGGGCCCCAACTGTGGCCGTAAGTTGAGGACTACTTGTAAAGAAATACACGCACAGGAGAGAGAGCTGGGTTGAGCTGAGGAGATATTGGGAAATATAAGCCTGGTCTATTGACAAATATCCAGCGACAAATAGTTTGAGAATTGGAATAACCGTAATGAAGGGAAAATGGGACAGAAAATTCAGATCAAGGACAATCCATTAGTCCAGAGTTTCTCAATCTTAGTCACTTTAAGATGTATAGACTTCAACATCTAAAATTCCATGGTTAAGATAAGTGGACTTCAACTCCCAGAATGCCATGCTTATATGGACTTCAACTCCTGGGATTTCATACTTAAAATATGTAGACTTCAGCTCCCAGGATTCCTGCTTAGGATAGCTGGACTTCAACTCCCAGGATTCCTTGCTTAGGATAGCTGGACTTCAACTCCCAGGATTCCATGCTTAAGAGAGATAGATTTGGTGCTCTCTGAGCTTGGTTGTTAGACATTTCATTATCCAAACTACATAACACCATTAGCGCTAGACTTCAGTCCCCACAATTCCAAGCTGGCTGGGGAATCTGGGAGTTGTAGTCCACCCATCTTAAAATGGTCAAGGTTGAGAAACACTCTATTAGTCACTGTTATTTCACTCTGTCTCACAAGTCCACATGTCTTAATGTGGGACTTCAACTCCCAGAATTCTTCAGCCAGCCATGCTGACTGGGGAATTGTGGGAGTTGAAGTCCAGTGTCTTAAAGTTGCCAAATTTTGAGAAGCGAAGTTTCATCTGTTATTTCTGCAACCAGCACATTCTCTTTTTTCTCTGTTTCTTCTACACCAACAGATCAATTTCATTCTTTTCATCAATATTGTCCAAATCCTGATGAAAAAACTGCATCCCAGGGACATCAGTTTGAACAACTCATTTCAATACAGGTAAGACAGTGCAGGAACAGCTATAAAGCAGGTTGGGAAATTCTTTCTCCCCCTACCCAAAAAAATCCTTTTCTTGAACAAGAAAACTTGAAAGAAAAGTGAAATTTACAAAAGTGCTTATATTTTCAATTTCATTCGATATTACTGTGCTTTTGTTTTTGTTCGAATTGTAGTTTAGAGCACGCTGCGTGCAATCAGGAGTTTTCAATGCACAATATGAATAAATAAATAAAGATGAACAGAAGAGACGATAAAGAAATGTGGGCATTGCCATCTAAAGATTGGCTGGAGGGGAGGAAGGAAGGAAGGAAGAGAAAGAAAGAAAGAAAAAGAAAGAAGGAAGGAAGGAAGGAAGGAAAGAAAGGGAGGGAAGGAAGGAGGAAGGAGAGAAAAAGAAAGAAAGAAGGAAAGAAGGAAAGAAAGAAAGAAAGGAAAGAAAGAAAGAAAGAAAAAAAGAGGGAGGAGGGATGGAAGGAAGGAGAGGGAGGGGAGGGAGAAAGAGAAAGAGGGAAAAAAAGAAAAAGAAGGAAGGAAGGAAAGGAAAGAAAGAAAGAAAGAGGGAGGGAGGGAAGGAAGGAAGGAGAGAGGGAGGGGGAGGGAGAAAGAGAAAGAGAGAAAGAAAGAAAAGAAGGAAGGAAGGAAAGAAAGAAAGAAAAAGGGAGGGAGGGAGGGAGGAATGGAAAGAAGGAGAGAGGGAGGGAGGAAAAAGAAAGAGAAAGAAAGAAAAAAGAAAGAAGGAAGGAAAGAAAGAAAGAAGAGGGAAAAGAGAAAGAAAGAAAGAAAAAGAGACAGGGAGGGAGGGAAGGAGGGAGGGGGAGAGAGAAAGAGAAAGAGAGAAAGAAAGAAAAGGAAAGAAGGAAAGAAAGAAAGACGGAGGGAGGGAGGGGGAACGAGAAAGAAAGACAGACAGACAAGGAAGGAAGGAAGGAAGGAAGGAAGGAGGAGAAAGAGAAAGAGAAAGAGAAAACATTGCTTCGTCCAATAAATACTGTATGTGGGATGGCCCCATAGAGATGACAACGCTGACTCCAATGGAGTACACAAGTGCCCTCTAGTGGCCATTGCTACTTAAGAGTTCCTTCAGTTCTGTAAACTCTGCTTTTTCTTCCCTCCACCCCACTTCACCCCTTTCCTAGACGCCTCTCTAAGTCCACCCTGCTTCTCATTCCCTTGTTTGGAACCCATTACATCATCTTCAACTTCCTGCCCGAATACAGCCACGTGGGAGCCCGTCTCTACTTTGAGTTGTGCATTGGATCCTTTCAGGTGAAGTACCACTGGAAGGTTTGTTGTGCAGGATAAGGGGGCCATCTTGCTAAAAAAAGCAATATTATTATTATTATTATTATTATTATTATTATTATTAATTATTATTATTATTATTATTATTATTATTATTATTATTAGCGATGCATTTTAAAAAAGGGAGGATGAGCTTTGTCAGCCTTGCGAGATGTCCTTGACATATGACCACAATTAAGCCAAAACTTCTGTTGCTAAGGGAGAAACTTGTTAAGTGAGTTTTATCCTGGTTTACAACCTTTTTTGCCCCGGTTGTTAATTGTGTTGGAAGAAATGTCCACCTGGGTTCAGTTCCGAGTGGGGAGAAAGACACTGGGAACATGGAGGCTATTTGGAAAGTTGGTTTAATGGTGGACAGGACCACGTGGTTTGAGGTCCTGAGCAATAGAGCACATGGGTAAGAGAAAGAGGAAAGATTTATACCCTCTTTTGGGCCCCGCCTTGGAGCTTCCTGTTCCTGTGGCAAGGTCCTGTATTCTGATTGGTCGTCAGACTCCCATGCAGGGGTAACTTTGTAGGTTGTCTTGAGTCCCAGGCATGGTTGAATCTTGCAGGGTGATGCAATCTCCCCAGGTGCCATCTGGTGAGCTCTGTTGATAGATAGATAGATAGATAGATATAGATAGATAGATAGATAGATAGATATGGATGGATGGATGGATGATAGATAGATAGATAGATAGATAGATAGATAGATAGATATAGATATAGATAGAAAGGTAGCTAGGTAGATAGATAGATATAGATAGAAAGGTAGGTAGATAGGTAGTAGATAGATAGATAGATAGATAGATAGATAGATAGATAGATAGATAAGTTCTGTTGCTAGATGGGTCGAGGGCTAATCCTATCCTGTCCTGAGGGCCATGTCTTAATCCCATCACCCTGGATCTGAAAGGAGGTGCAGGGAGCTGCTTGGTCTTTAAAACATGTTTTCCCTTTTCTCATCCAGGGAAATATATTCTGCCTTTTTAATGTTTCCTAAAATATTACCTAAAATATTATGAGCTTGTCGATCGAAAGGTCGGTTCGAATCCCTAGTGCCGCGTAACAGAGTGAGCTCCCGTGACTTGTCCCAGCTTCTGCCAACCTAGCAGTTCGAAAGCACGTAAAAAATGCAAGTAGAAAAATAGGGACCACCTTTGGTGGGAAGGCAATAGCGTTCTGTGCACCTTTGGCGTTTAGTCATGCTGGCCACATGACCACAGAGACGTCTTCAGACAGCGCTGGCTCTTCGGCTTTGAAACAGAGATGAGCAGCGCCCCCTAGAGTCGGGAACAACTAGCACATATGTGCGACGGGAACCTTTATCTTTACCTTAAACTATTTCATTCTTCTAGGAGGGCGATGGGTGCTAACTTTCTTTAAGTGAATCATGGCAGTGGTAAAGTTAGTAACACAGTTAACCAAAACCTTCATGTTATTCAGCAAGCCAGTTTTGTTAAGTGAGCTTTACAATCTTTTTTTGCCACCATTGTTATCACTAAGCGAATCATGTCACTAAGCAACTCGATTTTCTGACAAGCAAAGTCAAAGGGGAAAGTCAGATTCACTTAACAACCGTGTTGTCAACTGAACAACTGAAGTGATTCGCTTAACATCCGTGGCAAGAAAGGTCGTAAAATGGGGCAAAATTCATTTTCTGTCTCGCTCAGCTACGGAAATTTTGGGCTCCGTTGTGGTCGTAAGTCGAGGAACGCCTGTATATCCACAGAAATGGAGAGCGAGGTCGAGTAACGTCTGTGTTTCTCCTATTTTAGGGCTTCATCGTTGCCTTTTTGTACTGTTTCCTGAATCAAGAGGTAAGGAGCTTAATCATTGTCGATATTTCTGTGGCTGCAAAAGGGAAGCCATTATTTCTTTTTCCCTCAGGTCAATCCAGGCCTCCAAAGATTACTCTAACTCCCTTGGTGAATGTACCACTCTCTGGAGAGATCAAGGCCTGGAGGATCTTGGAGAGTCGAGGGAGAGTTAAATTGCCTTTAATTGTTTTTAAATTGTCTTTTTAAAAAATGCACTCGGAACAGAAGGAAAAAAAAAACAGTGTTTCTCAGTCACAGCTTTAAGATGTGTGGACTTCAATTCCCAGAATCCCTTAGCCAGCCATGCTGTGAGTCGAAGCCAGGCATGCTGGTGGAGGGATTCTGGGAGTTGAAGTCCACAAACATTGGCTGGGGAATTCTGGGAGTTGAAGTCCACAAACATTGGCTGGGGAATTCTGGGAGTCGAAGTCCACACATCTTAAAGTTGGCAAGGCTGAGAAATGTTGCTTTCTCCCACTCTTCTGGCTGCCCCTTTCCTGAACTTGAGATGGATGAGGCATATTTTGGTAGCTCTCAAACGATGTTGTCATGCAGGAAATCTATTTATGTGGTTGCTAGGAGTCGAAAATGACTTCTCAACACATAATGAATCAATCAATCTTGAGGAAAACCAAAAACACAGTGGGAGAGGTTTAAGAAAATGCCGATCAATGGAAAAAAAATAAATAAATTCCTCCTTTAGGCCAGGCTAGGATGAGTTGGGCGGCATATACCGAAAATAAATAATACAGGAAGTCCTCAATTTATGACCACAACTCACCCCAACATTTCTCTTGATAAGCAAGAAAGATGTTCATTGAGTTTTGCCCCATTTTACGACCTTTCTTGCCACAGTTGTTAAGTGAATCGCCTCAGTGGTGGGTTGCCCCCGGTTCGGACCGGTTCGCAAGAACCGGTAGTAAAACCGGCGGGAGGCTCCGCCCACTGACCCAGACGTCATCATAGGTGATCTGCGCATGCGGAGAAGTTCAGGGAGAACCCACCCCTGAATCACTGCAGTTGTTTAATTAGTAACACGGTTGTTAAATGAATCTGCCTTCCCCATTGACTTTGCTGGTCAGAAGGTCGCAAAAGGAGATCAAGTAACCCTGAGACACTGCAACCGTCATAAATATGAATCAGTTGCCAAGTGTCCGAATTCTGATCATGCAACCCACATGGGGATGTTGCATTGGTTGTAAGTGTGAAAAATGGTCCTAAGTCACTTTTTTCAGTACCGGTTGCTAAACGAACGGTGGTAAGTCAAGGACTACCTGTATTTCATTATTAACTTTGGTATCTATTTCTAGTTATAGGTATTCCTCGACTTACAATCATTCTTTTAGTGGCCAGCACTGAAAAAAAGATAGTTATGCCCAGTCCTCACACTTATGACCAATCCTCACACTTATGACCGCCACACCATTCCCCACATACGTGATCAAAATTCAGTTGCCTGACGACTGGCATGTTTTTATGACAGTTTCAGTGTCCTAGGGTCGTGTGATTCTCTTTTGCGACCTGACAAACAAAGTCAATGGGGAAGCCAGATTCACTTAACAACTACGTGACTAACTTAACAACTGCAATGACTCGCTTAACAATTGTGTCCAGAAAGGTCGTAAAATGGGGCAAAACGCACTTAACAACTGTCTCTCTTTAACAATGGAAATTTTCAGCTCAGTTGCAGTCATAAGTTCGAGGACTACCTTATAAAACGAATAAATGATTTTTCCAGTAATGGCAGCTATTGTTATTTTCAAGGTACAAACAGAACTTTGCCGGAAATGGCGAGGCAACAATTATGAATTTATGATGCCTTCTAGGAGGAAGAAGAACAAATGGACGGTGCCCCCGAGTTCCGGAATCAAAGTGACAAACTTGATGTTTAAGAATTAATTGAGATCAGCGTTTTTCAACCTTGGCCGCTTGAAGATGGGAGGACTTTAATTCTCACTGGCTGGGGAATTCTGGGAATTGAAGTCCATGCATGCTGGCTGAGGAATTCTGAGAGTTAAAAGTCAGTTTAACAACGGGTTCGGTGATCGCGCGTTTCGCGCGCCTGCGTACTTTTACAAATACGAATCTTCTGTGTTACCGCTTGGGAGTAACACAGCTAAAGTGCGGCAATCCGCCAATCAGCTGAGAAGATAAAGGTAAGTAAAGCCCACGAGCGGGCGGGCCAATCTGATCGTCGGAGCGAACCGGTTTGCCCGAACTGGTAGAATCCCACCCCTGGTTGAAGTCCATGCATGGAAGCAAGGGAATTCTGGGAGCTGAAGTCCACATATCTTCCAGCGGCTAAGGTTGATCAACACTGACCCTGTGAATAGCGAAAGTACAAATCTCCATCAAGATTCAACTCCGAGCTCGGAGATTTATCACGATTTCTTCAAGGCTGCAGCTCTCATCCACAACGGAATCACCTCATCTCATTTTCGATGTTAAGTGATATGTTAAATATTGTGTAGGGTGTGCGTTGGCAGATGTACTTAGCTCCACACCCCTCGCCTTCTTAACGAGAAGTAACGTAATGTGACTACAAGGAGCCCTTGATTTGAAACAACAATTCGTTTAATGACAGCATTGAAAAGATTGACTTATATCTGGTCCTCGCACTTACGACCGTTGCGGTATTCCCAACGGTCACGCGATTAAAATTCAGGCACCGGGCGACGGTGTATTGATGATGGATGCAGAGTTCTGAGATCGCCCTTTGCAACTTTCCCAGCCGAGTCAATGGAGGAAGCCAGATTCACTTAATGACTGTGTGACTCACTTAACAGCTAGGATGATTTGCATAACACCTGCGGCAAAAAAAGGTCGTTAAAAAAAAGTATGGCTCACTTAGCAACCCCCTTGCTTAGTAATGGAAGTTCCGGTGCTAATTGTGGTCATAATTAGAGAACTATGTAACGAGAAGCTCGGCATTCAGCGGTAAAAGTTTGAAATGGCCCTGCTTTAGTGTGGCTGCCAGTTTGAGCTGGAAATATAAGGGCAGAGGATCAGACAGAACAGTCCTCGACGTACGACCAAAATTGTGCCCTAAATCTCTGTTGCTAAGCAAGCCAATTGTGAAGTGAGTTTTGCCCCATTTTAAAACCTTTTCTCCCGCAGCTGTTAAGTGAATAGCTACAGTTAAGATAGTAACATGGTCGTTGAGTGAATCTGGCTTCCCCATTGACTTTGATTGACAGACGTTCGCAAAAGGAGATCATGTGACCCCCATCCAGGGAATGCACCTGCGCCCAGCCTCAAAAACGTGCTTAAATAGGACGGCATAGAGCCGGGGCGGATGGACTGGCCCAGCCACAATTTCCGCTGCCGGTTCGGGCGAACCAATCCGAACCAGCTAAATACCACCTCTGATGCCAGCATCCCCATTTTGACTGTGGGGATGCCGCAACGTTGTGAAAAAACAAGTCGCCGGCCACTTTTTAAAGTGGCGTTGTAACTTCAGACAGTCACTAAACGAATGGTTGTAAGTCGAGGGCTACCGATATGCTTTGCCCGAACCTCTAAAAACCGTACCCTTAGTTAATATGCGTAGTAGACAATCAGGTTGTGTTCGGACCGTTTCGGCGTTGTATTTTTTAACCAAGCTCACCCGTTGCCTTCTTAAATATTCCTCGCCTGTCTCCCACCCCCAACCCCCTCAAAACAATCCTTAGTGAAACTCAGCGGTTGTGTAATTGCTTTCTATGGGCCTCTGCTCTCTATTATTGCTCTCTACAGGTACTTTGGTAAAACATCATCACCTAGACGTATCTTGAAAACTGCCGTTGCGTTAAGAATTGCTTCTGTGTAGTCGTGTTTCAACAATGAAGACCATGTTACTTTTTTTGATGGCTAAATGTTACAAAAACGCACAAAACCAGTGGCATCAAAAATAACCCTTCCGTACCAGTTTAAGAGTCTATACGGGCACGCAGGAAGGACCGGGTTTATTAATGATGCTCATTGTTTCATGCAGGGATCTCCAAAATCGGCAACTTTTAAGACTTGTGGACTTCAACTCCCATGAATTCCCCGGCTGCGGAATATTGGAAGTACACAAGTCTTAAGAAGTTGCCAACTTTGGAGATCCCCGGTTTTAATGGAAACGATCAAAAATAAGGACACAATTTCAGTCACAGGCAGATTATGCAAAAAAAAAAGCGTGACACAGCTGATATTTATTTCTCAAGTAATGCAGGAGACAGCTGGGACAGCCCTATAGAGAGTCCTCAACTTCTGATTGCCATTGACAATTTTGGTCGTAAATCGTGACAGTCGTAAAGCAGATCATCAGACAACCAATCTAATTTTATCATCTTTTTTTGTGGTGGTTGTTAAATGACTGTAGTGATGATAAAGCAACAGTCATGATTGCATTCAGTAAATGGCAAAGTCTGGATGGTTTTGCTGGAAACCAAAAGTACATATATCTGTTTTGGGTCAAACTGTCATAAATTGTGGTCATGTGACTGCAGGACTTAACAGATAGGCCAGTTGCAAAGGCCATATGACTGGGCAGAGAGGTGGATATTGGAACTTTGTAACCGGGTCATAAATACCCTTTTTGGGGGTCCGTCATAAGTTTGAATGTTCACTAAGTGACCAATCGTAAGTTGAGGACAACCTGTATTTCATTTGGATGAACACTACAGGCATTTAAATATGCAGCAGAAAAGTGACTGGTCATAAGTCAAGGACTATCTGTGTTTCATTAGGATGAACACTAGGGGTCCATTTAATGTGAAACAGAAGTTGAACATAAGATGGTCAACTTACATGGTCAACTTACATGGTCTCCTTTGTAGATTAGATTTATCTGTCTCTGGCTGCCCCAGAGACAGACAGACAATGATGGTGTAACAATCTGAAATCTTGGGTCCCAGAAATGTATATTGAAAGGCAGAAAGAGATCATGCACACCATAACATGACCCCGTGGAGACTTCCATTCTTCTGGTCTCCTACCTTCTGCAAAGCTTTCCTAGAAGGTTTCAGAAGCCAGGTCAAAAGATTATTGGGTCATGGATACTGGCTGTAGGTTGAGAATCAACACGGATAAAAATTGGGGCAACACGAGATAAGGATGGAAGAGAAAATATTTGTAACTCAGGGTTGAATTGTGGAATCCTTGGTGTCCTCCAAGGTTTTCCTGAAGATGTTTTATGACCCTACTAGGGAACATCATCAGTGCTACAAGAGAGTGGGGTGTGCGAAGTGAAGGAGGAAGAGGAAAGCAAGAAGGAGGCAATGACTATGGGATCCTTGGTGCTCTCTGAGTTTGGTGGTTAATTTTGCAGATGTTTTATCACCCAGCTAGGTAATATGATCAATATTAGAAGGGTGGATGGTGTGCAGAAGAAGAGGAGGACCGGTGGGGAGGAGGACTGTGGGGTCCTTGGTTCTCTTTGAGCTTGGTTTTTCCCTGCAGACATGTCATGATCCAACTAGGAAATATCATCAATGCTACAAGGGAAGTGGAGTGTGCAGAGTGGAGGAGAAGGAGAAGAAGAAGAAGATGGAGAAGAAGAAGAAGATGGAGAAGAAGAAGAAGAAGGAGAAGAATTGTGGTGTCCTCAGTGTTCTCTGAGCTTCGTTGTTTACTTACACAGATTTCATGACCCAACTAGGTAACATCATCAATGGCAGGGGCTACCAAAAAAAGTCTCCCTTCTAGAACTGATGATATTACCTAGTTGGGTCATGAAATGTCTGTAAGAAAAAAACCATGTTCAGACAGCACCATGGACCCTTAACAATTAGAGCTGTGATCTGTTGAGATTCTGCTTCGTTGTGAGGAATTGGGGGGCTTAGATGGGCCAATGTTAAGAATGCATCTAGAAATGAAGTCAAGAAGCCCCCTTCTTTGTGAGCATATTGCCTTAAAAATGAATAAATTTTCCAAAATTCCGATCACCGTGTGTGGTTTCTCACTCATTAAGTTGCAGAATAACCAACTCTTAGTGCGAAGAAGCAACTGCTGTGTCTTCTTAACGTCTGATTTGACAGGTTGCAATCTCAAAAGTTGTTATGGAAACTTCATCCTTTAGTGTCCTCCAGAAAATCCCTGTTTGTTTACTGGGAGTGGGGTGGAGATGCAGCCACTAATCACAACTGAAAAGGTGGAAAATTGACATCTATGGATGCCTGGAAGATCACAGTGTAAATTGGGCTGGCGGAAAGTGTTAGATTGATCATATTCATGTAATTATCTTGAAGGAAAAAAATAATGAAGTTTTCCTGGCTCTTGTTTAATGCGGCTTTGAAGTCGAAGGAACAAGAATTAATTCAGGGAACTTGTCAAGATTAAATCTATGCCCTCCGGCAATTAATTGAGTTCTCAGTCCTGCAAAGAGAAATTACCCAACTTTAATATGATTATTTTTTTTTCCACGCTGTTGTGTTAGAACTAACAGCTTGACAAAGTCCAAATTGTTATAAACCCATCTGAACGTAGAGAAATGTCGGGTGTGGCTGGGCGCGAGTTTGCCTGTAAAATTTGGCACAATTTAACTTGTGTGTTTCAAGTAGCATAGTATTGTATCCTGGGGGAATCACCTGAAGTATTAGTACCACTTTATAAAACCTGAGTAAGGCCACGCTTGGAATAGTGCATCCAGTTTTGGTCGCTGCAAAAGTTGAGAATTTGGAAAAAGTGCAGAGAGGAGCAATTAAGATGATTAAGGGCCTGGAGACGACAACATATGAAGTACAGTTGTAGGATTTGGGTATGTCTAGTTTAATGAAAAGAAGGACTAGGAGTGACATGAGAGCAGTCTTCCAAAGTCTCAGAAAAGGGGGTCATCCTATTCTCCAAAGCCCCTGAGGGCAGGACAAGAAGCAACGGGTAGAAACTCAAGGAGAGAGGCAACCTGGAATGAAGAAGGAACAGTGAGAACAATTAACCGGTGGAACAACTTGTTGTGTGTGCATTGAATTATGGGTATGGGCATGTGTGCGTGTGACCCCCCCCCGCGCTCCTCCCACTTTTGGCACACAACAGCAAAAAGGTTAGCCATCACTGTCCTAGAGCGTGTCAAATTTCAATTTCCAAACATTAGTGGTGCTCAAAAGCTGTGACATGTCTTGGGAATTGTAAAGATGTTTTGGTTACTTTAATATAATTAATATAATTAATATACTTTAATATAATTAATATAATGTTTGGTAATTAACTACATAAATATCATAACCTTTTAATGTTGGATCCCCCCTTGCTTACTGTATGATAGGGATGTCAAACTCAAGGCCCGCGGGCTAGATTGGCCCACGGGGTCCGGGGTGTGGGGCCACCCCGGAAATAGTGAGGGATCGGCCCATGGTGCCTCTGCCAGCGAAAACGAGTTCCCAAGCTCCATTTCCGGTTGCAATGGCTTCCTGCAACCCTCTGCCAGCTTAGGAGCCGTTCTTCCTTCCCAAGGATCAGCCCACGGATTTCCATTGCTCTCCTCTCCTCTGCCTTCTGCGCATCCGTGTGTCAGGCACTGGACCCAGCTGTTCCTCCTCTTCCTCATCTGCCATCCAGACCTGGAGGCTGCTAACTCTAATGCAGCTGTTAATGCGGCCGCACGGGTGATTATGGGAGCGACGTGTTGCTCCTATGTAACACCTCTCCTGCGCGAGCTGCACTGGCTCCCGGTGGTCTTCCGGGTGCGCTTCAAGGTGTTGGTTCTCACCTTTAAAGCGCTCCATGGCTTAGGGCCAGGGTACCTATGAGACCGCCTGCTGCTACCGATAACCTCCCACCGGCCAATACGCTCTCACAGAGAGGGCCTCCTCAGGGTGCCGTCGGTCAAGCAATGTCGGCTGGCGGCCCCCAGGGGGAGAGCCTTCTCTGTGGGGGCACCCGCCCTGTAGAATGAGCTACCTCCTGAACACCACTGATCCCGGATCTCCGTACCTTCCTTAAGGCCCTGAAGGCTTATTTATTCCAGCAAGCCGGCCTAGCCTAAATGGTTTTTAATGAGATTTTTAAATTTATAGACTTGGGGTTTTAAATTGGGAGGCCGATTGATTTAATCCCTTTTAATTATCTTAACTTTTGTATTGTATGTATTTTAATTTTGGCTGTTCACCGCCCTGAGTCCCTTTTGGGAGAAGGGCGGTATACAAATAAAATAATAGCCTTGATAGTACAGTGGTTTAGTGCACCCTGTTATTAAACAACAGCTGCCTGCAATTTCTGCTGGTTCAAATCTCTCCAAAGCTCAAGGTTGACTCAGCCTTCCATCCTTTCTAAGGTAGGTGAAATGAGGACCCAGTTTGTGGGGGCAATAAGCTGACTTTGTATAAATATACAAAAGAATGAAGGCTATTGCTTAACGCATTGTAAGCCGCCCTGAGTCTCCGGAGAAGGGCGGCATATAAATAAAAATAAAATAAAATAAAATAAAATAAAATAAAATAAAAATAAAATAAAATAAAATAAAAATAAAATAAAATAAAATAAAATAAAAACTCTCTGTCTGAGGGCTAACGGAGGGCCCAGGCTCCGCCTCTGTCTGTTTCTCTCTCTCTTTGCTAGCTCCATTCCCTCTTCCCCCTCGGAGATCTCAGGTTGCCTTGATGCCGACTCTGACTCCCACGCCTCCTCCTCCTCCTCCTCCTCCTCCTCCTCCTCCTCCATCCTCCTCCTCCTCCTCTGATTTGGCTGCTGGAGGGGCCGGTGGCCAACAAGCCACAACATCAAGTCTCTCTCCAAGCGGGCAGATGCAACACCTGGAATCAATCAACCTGCCAGGATTAGGAGCGCAGCCAGGGTGCATGGAAAGCGCCTCGCATCTGGTCCCACAAATGTGGAGGTGGCTTCCTCCAGCATCCATGGTGAAGTGGTGGTATTCAGCCGGTTCGGGAAAATACCACCACTTACTGGTAGTGGCGACCTTGGGGTGAGGCTGTTCCTGCCCACACCCCGCCTACCTGCCCTGGCACTATGCCATCCTATTTAGCCACGTGCGTGCGTGCATGCCACACATGAGAGCAAAGCGTGTGCATGGAAGGTATGCACGTGCTCACATTTTCAGTGTGCGGTAAAATTATTTGAAACCCACCTCTGCCGTGGTGTCTCAACTTTACCTGGACGGCCCCTTCCAGCTCAGCAGTGCTGCTTCAGCCCCACCGCCTGGCCCCCCGCTTCTGGCCAGATTGGGTGAGCCACAGTGAAGGGCTTTTGGTGATGTTTGCTGAACAAACTGAGCCCCGCCTGCCCTCCAACTCCACTCCTCTGTCAATTCCCAAAGTCACTGGGTCTCCAGAAAAAAAAACCCAGTGCACAATCGATGGCAGGGGTCCCCAAACTCCAGGCCGTGGCCGATTCAGAACCGGATTGTGGGAGAGGCTGGCTGTTCACATGTACAGCTACACTGGTACGAGTGGCGCCCCAAAGGCTTCTCCATGCCCAAAGCTTCTGCTTCTGTTTATAAGCGCTCTGTGCTTAGAGCTTGAAGCATTGCTAGGGACCCCACACATCCAATTTACGGTCTGTTTCTGTTGCTTCCGTCTGGGAGGAGGTTCCGGCGTATCTAAAGCAGGACAACCAGGTTCTGGAACGCCTAGGCCATCCATCTGGCAAATTCACGAGATTCTTTCCTTCCCCACCCCATGCATCTGTGTATGTTTGAGCTAGACTGTGATGTTTCCCTTTGTCATATATGTGTGTCAGAGGTGGTATTCACCAGTTCTGGAGAACCGGTAGTGGAAATTTTGAGTAGTTCGGAAAACCGGCAAATACCACCTCTGACTGGCCCCACCCCCATCCATTCTCTGCCTCCCGAGTCCCAGCTGATCAGGAGGGAATGGGGATTTTGCAGTAACCTTCCCCTGCCACGCCCACCAAGCTATGCCACGCCCACCAAGCCACACTCACAGAACTGGTAGAAAAAAAAAATTGAATCCCACCACTGATGTATGTGTATATGAGTATATGCATAATAGTTATTTTTTGAGAGCTGAATGCAATACATTTCATATTTAATTGTTCTGTTCTCTTCTGTTCCCGTTCCTATCCTATCCTATCCTATCCTATCCTATCCTATCCTATCCTATCCTATCCTATCCTATCCTATCCTATCCTATCCTATCCTATCCTTTTCTTCTATTCCTATTGCCGTTGCTGTTCCTATCCTATTTCTATTTCTATTTCTTATTCAATTCTATTTTCTATTCTATTTCTTATTTTATCCCATTCTAATGTATTCTATTCTCTCTCTCTTTATTCTGTTCTGTTCTATTCTATTCTATTCTTCTATTGTTAGGAGGCAATATGCTATTTAGTATACTGTCTTTGGTGTAAGCTGCCCAGAGTCCTCGGAGAGTGGGTGGCATAGAAATATGAATAATAAATAAATAATAAATAAATATCCTATCCTATCCTATCCTATCCTATCCTATCCTATCCTATCCTAGAAATCCTTCGGAGAATTGATCTCGCACTGCTTCTGGCTTCCCATCCCTTTGCAAAAGCTTTTGGCACAGGGAAGTCTGAAGGAACTGCAAAACTGCGCCCCAAAGTCTTCTCTTCTCTCTTGCGTGAGTGGAGTTGTGTCTCTGTGTGTGTGTGTGCGCGTGTGACAGCCCATCACTCACACAACCCAGTTCCCTTCTCCTCCTCCCCCTCCCTCCCCCTCACCCAGCTAGGCCGCTAACCACAAAGTTTGGGGACCACTGATGTACTTACTGCGTGTCCTTCCAGGAGAATCCTTGGACCGCTGAGATTTTGAGAAAGATAAAGCAGAGTGCCACTAGATGGCGACCTGTCCTTTAAAGATGGCTTTTTTGGTTGACAGCTGTCCTGTTTCTCTCTCAACCAGCATGAAACCGCCTCCTGCAAAATAATTTGGGGGGGGGGAAAAAAGCCTCCGTTGCTTGAAAAATGGATTGAAAAGGACTCCAGGGCTCCGTAACTGGGAACACCCGTAATGTCTTTCCTCCTCCCCCGCCCATCCCTTGTTGGCATTTCTTTTTGCAACAGATAATAACCGCAAAATTGCGGCCTTCCCTGGTAGCTGGCAGGATGGATTCAAGCAGAACGTGACTTGTTAGAAATACGAAATGAGTAAACAGAGTCTGTGTTTCTTAACCTCGGCAACTTTTAAGACAATTCTCAGAATATCCCCAGCTAGCAGGCTGGGTAAAGAATTCTGGGAGTTGAAGTCCACACACCTTAAGGTTTTTCAAGATTGGGAAACACTGGTTAAAGGGCTTCTCACAGAGGCGGGATTCAGCCGGTTCGTAATTTACATCCGGTTTGCCAAACTGGTAGTTGCAAGGACTAGTTGGCCTCCGCCCATCCCTCCCCTCCCAGGAATCTCCACACAGCCCGTTTTGGATGCTAGATAAGTGCAGGGCCTGCACAGAGGCTCTGGGAGGGCGAAAAACAGGTCTCCCAGAAGTGCCAGAAATCTAGAAACAGGCCCGTTTCTGGCCTCCGGAGGGCCTCAGGAGCCCAGGGGAGGCCATTTTCGCCCTCCCGGAGGCTCAAAGAAAGCTTCTGGAATCTGGGGAGGGTGAAAAACAGGCCTCCTGGAAGCTCCGGAAGTCTGGGAACAGGCCCGTTTCTGGCCTCTGGAGGCCTCCGAAACCAGGGGGGGTCATTTTCGCCCTCTCAGAGGCTCGAGGAAAGCCTCCCGAGCCTGGGGGTGCAAACCCCCCCCCCTATAGTGCAGGAGGCTGAGTAGGCCACGCCCACAATGGCCACGTCCACCCAGCAACTGGGCAGAGAACCAGTTGCTAAAATTTTTGAATCCCACTTCTCATAATTTAAGGCTGCATATAGCAATAGCACTTAGACGTATATACCGCCTCACAGTACTTTTACAGCCCTCTCTAAGCGGTTTACAGCGTCAGCCTACTGCCCCCCAACAATTGGGGTCCTCATTTTACCCACCTCAGAAGGAAGGAAGGTTGAGTCAACCTTGAGCCTGGTGAGATTTGAACTGTTAAAACTGCTGACAAACTGCTGGCAGCCAGCAGTCAGCAGACGTAGCCTGCAGTACTGCACTCTAACCACTGCGCCACCACGACTGATATAGGTAATTGTCATCTTACAACCATTGGTTTAGTGACTGTTTGAACTTATAATAGCGCTGGAAAAAGTGACCGATGTCCATTTTTCATATTTATGACTGTTGCACCGTCCCCCTAGTCACGTGATCAAAATTCAGACACTTGGCAACTGGCATGTACTTATGACAGTTGAAGTGTTCTGCAGATCTTTTGTAACTTTCTGACAAGCAGAGTTACTGAGGAAGCTAGATTTGCTTTATATTGGTGTGTTGGAAGAAAACTCCGGTCCAGTTCCAATCCGGGAGAATGACGCAGGGGCTAACCAATTTGGAAGCAGGCTGCAGGAAAGTAGGTCTCTGTTTATTTGGTAGCCAGAAACTAGTGACAGCAACATGTTTCTGGGGTGGCTGACAAAATACGGTTGAGAGTAGATGGGCTTTTATAAAAGGATAGTGACAGGATAGTGGGCCTTTATACATTTTGGGGGCTTTGTGATTGAGATGCCTGTTTCTATGCAATAATATGTCCTTTAATATTTTAATGCCTATTGTTAGATTCCTATGGAATCGTGTAGGGGTCATGGCTGGCTCTACAGGCAAAAGGGGAAATGCAAATTCTAGGTGTTTTGTTTGTCTGAGCTAATCTTGTCAGTTTCCGCTCCTTGCCTTTTGTATTGCCTATTTGGAGTTTCTGGCTGCTCTTTGCTTATGAATAGAGTGGCCCAGCTTTCTGAATGGATACAAAATATCCATTCAGGGGAAATATTTTATTCTGTCTCTTTAATATTTAGAATAAAGAATATTTTATTCTGGGGGAGGCGGGGTGTCTTCCTACACGTGTGACTAATGTAACAGCTACAGTGACTTACTTAACAACTGTGGCAATTAAAGGTCGTAAAATGGGGCAAAACTCACTTAACAACAGTCATGCTTAGCAACGGAAATATTGGGCTCGACTGTGGTCGTAAGTCGAGGACTATCTGCGTTACATGATGATGATGGGATTCAAGGCAGGAAAATTCACAGAGAGGAAGAAAAACAGTGCAGCTTTGGTAACTTAAGGGATTTCTGAATGCCTCCCCCAAAAAATCAAATTAAATTAAATCGAAGTCTTTACAAAGGAGTAAAACGATACTGTAGTAATTCAGGATCGTCTCAGATGGGAAGGAAACTCTTTTTCAGTTGTTCTTTCCATCCTTAATTTTTTTTTTAAAAAAAACCACAATTTGGTGGAAGCTGAAGAAAACAACTTCTGGGTTCCATTACGGTCATAAATCGAGGACTATTTTACATAAAGGAAATGCCAAGGTGGTGGTGGTGAGGAAAATGGGTGGGTGAAAGCTCCCTGGCTCCAAGCTACAAATTAAATCAAATTAAAGAAGAGGCAGGCAGGCAGGCAAGCAGGGACAAGTGGAAATGACTCTCGTTCCAACAGAGTCGCTTTTATTAAAAAAAAAAATCTCCTTTTCTTTTTCCTTCTTCTTCATCTGCTTCGCTCCTCACCCAGACTTTTAGAGGGTGGACAGGTAAATGAAAACCTAGGCAGCGCTTAAAAGCTACTTACGACTTGTCACCTGGGAAATTAGGACCATTAAGGAAAAGGAAAAGCAACAGAGAGAAAGAAAAGGAGAAAGAAAATGTCTTTTTCTCTTGCTCTCTCACACACGTACACACAACACACACACACACACACACACAAATGCTACTCCCTGTAGATCACTACGCGGAGTCTATAATCAAGAGGAAACCGAGGATTGTAGGTTGCTTAGAGCTCAAACAATGATCTATCATCCATTTACTAGTGTGTCTTTCTTCCTTTAGAATAGAATAGAATAACAGAGTTGGAAGGGACCTTGGAGGTCTTCTAGTCCAACCCCCTGCTTAGGCAGGAAACTCTACACCACTTCAGATAAATTGTCCTTCAATCTCTTCTTAAAAAACCTCCAGTGTTGGAGCATTCACAACTTCTGGAGGCAAGTTGTTCCACTGATTAATTGTTCTCCCTGTCAGGAAGTTTCTCCTTTAGTTCTAGGTTGCTTCTCTCCTTGATTAGTTTCCACCTGTTGCTTCTTGTCCTGCCCTCAGGGGCTTTCTTAGAAGGGGTACTTTAAAAAAAGGGGGTGTGTGTCATGTGATCTTATCATCCAGGGTCGGCCCCCATCAAATAGAGCAGACCAGGACATCAACTTCCAAGGAAGTCAAGTTATTTTGACAGGTGGTCTTTAACTTACAGACACAATCGAGCCTAAATTTTTCCATTGCTAAGTGAGACACTGGTTAAGGGAGTTTGGCCCCATTTTACAACCTTCCTTGCCCGATTTGTTAAGTGAACCGCTGCAGTTGTTAATGTTAGTCACATGATTGTTAAGCGAATCTGGCTCCCCCATTGGCTTTGCATATTGCAAAAGGGGATCGCGTGAATTTGGGATACTGCAATCGTCATAAATACACGCCGGTCTGAATTTTGATCCAGGTGACCCCGGGACAGTGCAACCGTCGTAAATATGGCTCATTTGCCAAACGTCTGAATTTTGATCCCGTGACTGTAGGGATGCTGCTACAACAGTTGTGTGAAAACTGGTCATAAGCAGCGGTGGAATTAAGCCAGTTCGGACCGTTTCAGGCGAACCGGTAGTTCCAATGATCAGCTGGCCACGCCCACCCGCACCCGCCCTATCCTGTCCTATGTTTCCTCCTTTCTAATTTGCATGGCACATCTGATTTCTGCACCTCTGCTGTTCTACTTACCGGGGCTGCCTTAGAAGCATGGATGAAATTCAGCAGGTTCTAACAGTTTCTGGAGAACCGGTAGCGGAAATTTTGAGTAGTTCAGAGAACTGGCAAATACCACCTCTGATTGGCCCCAGAGTTTTTTGGTTTTTTTAAAAATTTGATTTATATGCCGCCCTTCTCCGGAGACTCAGGCCGGCTTACAATGCGTTAAGCAATAGCCTTCACCCTTTTGTATATTTATACAAAGTCAGCTTATTGCCCCCCCAAACTGGGTCCTCAATTTACCCACCTTAGAAAGGATGGAAGGCTGAGTCAACCTTGAGCCTGGGGAGATTCGAACTTACAGTAATTGCAGACAGCTGCAATCACAATGCTATCAGTCTGCTGAGCCACCAGGCCACCAGAGTGAGGTGGGAATGGATATTTTGCAGTATCCTTCCCCTGCCACGCCCACCAAACCACGCCCACCAAGCCTCACCATAGTAAAAAAAAATTGGATTTCACCACTGCTTAGAAAGTAAGCAGCTGAGCTTCAAATTGCTGTATTTTGAACGTTGCACGAAGCGCGGGCTCATCGGTTAACCGGCTGCATCCCACCACTGATCATAAGTCGGTTTTTTTCAGTGCCATTGTAACTTTGAACTGCCACTAAATGAACTGTTATAAGTTGAAGACCACCTGCATTGAAGTTGGCTAGAAGCTTGCAAGAATCTTGCAAGCTCTGTCTCAGTCACAGGCACCGTGAGAGGAGTCTAGGTGTCCGAGTGGATCTCCGCTTAAGCATGAGCCAGCCATGTCCTTCAGCTGCCCAAAAGGCCAATGCAATCCTAGATTGCATCAACTGAGCGACAGCATCAAGATCACTGGAAGTAACAATAATTCTTTATACTGCTTTGGTAAGTCTTCTTAAAAATCTCCCAGTGATGGAGCATTCACAACTTCTGGAGGCAAGTCATTTTACTGATTAATGGTTCTGTCCTTAGTTCTAAATTGCTTCTCTCCGTGATGAGTTTCCATCCATTATTCCTTCTTCTGGCCTTGAGGTGCTTTGGAGAATAGCTTGACTCCCTCTTCTTTGGGGCAGCCC